GTCCTCCTAGCTCTTTCTTTTTCTCCTTTCCTTTTCTCTCGATATTGTGATTCTCGAGGTTTTTGGCGCAAGAAGCCTACCTTTTGACCCTTTTTCACTCGCATCGCTGTAAATTTCGTTGGGTTCGCTTTCAAAAAATCGACTAATAACGACTCGAAGTAATCGGATGAAATTCAGGCTACCAATGTACATGTTGGACTGAATTAATGAGAGACCCCATGCCAACCTCGTTCCTGGAAAAGCCCTGGGGACGAGGTTGGCCCAATGTCTGTTATGACGATGACGAGAACAATAAAATGTGCTTCCGGGAAATGAAAAAGTTTCCGTAAGTTTGCAATCATGAGAGCTTCTCCCAGTCAAAACCTTCTTTGTATGGTTGCCGTAAAAGCGAGATACCCACAATGGCATGGCCAGGCGAATGCTGACTATAACAGGGCAAGACTCGCCAGCCCACCAACTCAAGTTTTGGAATACACTCAAAGAAAGTGTATACTACTCGTAGCTAAGAGATCGATTTCTTTCCTTCTTCTTTCCTTTATTTCACATAACTTAAAAGTCTTGAAACGCTGCTGATATTTAAAGTTCGCTCTACTAGTGAAAGAAACTTCATTCTATAATTCAAAAGCATTTTGCTGAACGGTCCACCCTTCATGCCTCAGGGGACTTTAATAAAACTTTGGTCGCGGTTTCAGTAGCAGGAACTGACCAATCAGATGCATTTCCCGAGCGGCACGGGAAATATAGGCATGTTTTCATCAAGCATTTATTGGGCGCAATATAAACGTCTGATCATCTTTATAGTGAGAAAGTTGCTCTGTCTTTTCCAAAACTGTAGAAATGCTAGAAAAGCAACTTTTAGCACTCTTTCATTCGATTCCCTTGGCTTATAAAAAATGCTATATTTGAAAACTGTAACTTTGAATAACAAGCAAAACAGGAAACTATTGCAGTCCGATCTCTGATCTTCTTCACGTCTTATATCAGAGTTAGACTATTCTATCATGACTGTTAGCTTTTCTTGAACGATTAAGGAATATCCAGTTCCGGTCTCTTCCGGTCTCTTCCGGTCTCTTCTGGAGAGTCTGTTTTCTCATGTTTGCTGACCTTTTGTTCAATTTTCAATCTTTCTTGTTGTCAATGAACTTCATCAGATTTTGATTAAATCGTTATTACAAAGTTTCTAGCAGTTTTAACACAGTCTTCGTTGAGCACTGATTGTCCAGGGCCACAGTTCTTTGAAAAAGTGCGATGATCCTTTCCCTTTTTAAAAATTTTTTTGTACATTCTAGCGGTTTAACAAAAGTTTAGTCTTTGAATGGTAGAATTTTAAGCGTTAATTGCATATGAATAAACATCAATAGTATATGTTTTTATTGTTGTACCGAAGACAAAGGCCAGTAAAACTTGTGAAAAATAATCCAACATGCGCATAATCACATCTTGGTAAACTTTGGTAATGCTACTTTGCATGTGCAACACGAGTATTTCTCGAGTTGGAATGAATTTTAATCGAGAAACTGTACAAAAGGAAGACGCTGATTTCGAGTTGATTGAACTGTTGTTTAGACAGTTAACTTACACTGGAAGGACCAAACTCATCTCAAACGATCGCTGTCATCACCACCAGCTAAGATTCGCTTGTGCCTCTTCGAAGATACCAGGTTTGTCCTCAGTTCAACTTATATTTTTGGTCTACTAAGCCCTAGTTTACATTAATTGCTGGCAATAAACCCAAATTAATCTAGTCGCCGAAACAACGTTACTGGTTTTCCGTAAGTTACCGCGGAAATTTTAAAAAGTTTGAATTCGCGCTCTTTCGCAATTTTAACTTTAATCGTGACGAGCGGGTGCAAAACAGGCTATTGTAGTCTTCCCATATTCATTAGTTTTGTCAAACTGATAGTGGTGATCAACATCACTGAGCAATCAAATATTAGGAGTTTAAATGGTTCTTGTGCTAGCAATTCTTTAACACTAGTTTTCCCCAACTTTCTTCGCTTCTATCTACCGAGACGTTTTGAAAGTTTGTATGTTTCTTTCCCGGTACTTTTAAAATTTATTCTGGGTCTAGCTTGTGGTAATTCACACGGCTATAGGACCCTATAGGCCTTTTTCAAAAATACCATAATACCCTCGATAGGCCTATTGTATACTCATTCACAAGCCAGTTTTGTCATCGATTTGTCAAGTCGGCATTTTTTTTTCTGAATGCGTCTAATTCAAGCGTTAGTCAAATCTGAGTGATGTTTTTCTCAAAGTGTTGTGATAAGCGTCCAAATTGCTTTGACGGTTCTTACTGGTTATTTTTGCTGCATAAAGAAATTATTCTTTTAGACTTTACATAAAGGATTTTCTGTCATAATTCTGTTCTCTGTGTGTTGTTCAATGTGTCGCCAGAAGTTACCTGTAAAACATGCATGGTCCCTTTGTTAGGTTGGCTCGTAAAGTCTTGAACTGGAGTCAAGAAGATAAACGCGAGTTGCGATTGTTACGGTCAAATAGGCCTATTTTGTTGATGACTATGTAGTTAAAAATTTTCGCTTTGATTAAAGAAGTGTTCTCTTCTGTAGACTACACTAATAAAATAAACTTCAAACGCTGGACAGTTTATTACTCTGAATCAGAGTTTTACATTTGATTAACCGCGACCTTATAAATTAATGTACGATTTAAAGATAAATTATGTTTTTATGCCGCACAAACGGGTTGCAAACAAACAAACTGTTGGCAATTTTGGCGAGAGTGCATAGCTTGTACCGGGAGAGAATTACATTGCTTCCAGGGACGATTAGGCTGACACAAGATAATAGTCGACAGAGGTGCAATACAGGTGTAAATAAAACTGAAGGTAACGAGAAACCAGGTAAACAAGAAAAGAAGGTTAATTTGGAGTGCAATTCTTAACACGTTAGTGCCGTGGTATTTACAACAACAAAAATAACGCTTTCCATTTTTTTAACAGGTGCTGCCTCACCATAAAGAAAAGAAGAACAATTTGCCTTCCAAAAAAGTGTTCAAAATAACAATAAAAGTACTGCCACGATCCTTAAAAAGGATATGCAGCCAACTCATTTGTGTGTCTGTCATTTATTCAGTATATACCAAACCTATGGTAAGTTTATTTTTTGCTAAACACAGTCGGTTAGTCGGGTCTTCGTGCAATTTTCCACTGTTTTGAACAGGTTATTATTTAAGGTAAATTTTAAGAACAGGTCATTGAGGTGGAACAGAAGATCATTATTAGAAACTGAATAACCTACTGTTTCAATTCAGTGACCATAATAATAACCTGCCGGTCCTAAAACTATGGAAAAGTGCGCGCTCGGTCATTATTCTTAAAAAGGTCTCGCGGCTCAACGATTAAGTTATATTTCTTTTCATGTTGCATCTTTCTTTCCAATAATTTTGATGTGAGTTTTTTCGTCACTCTGACAATTCTGGTTTGGTATATACACCAAGACAACATGTTGCTGTATTTAGTTATAAATTAAGCAAATTGTGTCTTCACCTCCTAAAAAATCACAATCTAAAAGAAGTTTACGCTTTTGAATTCAGTGAGCAAGTACAGTATCGTAGACAACACGGAACCTTACCAAGAGCTAAATTCCTCAGCGTAAACCAACAACAAAAAAACAACCAAGATTACTACAACAAAAAAATGGTCAAAGGACCCCTAGGGACCAAATATTAAAAATACAAAACAGAGCACAAGAGGTAAGTAAAAAGGTAAGTACTAAGGTAAGTTTATCTAAACTATTTTTATCACTGAGCCCTGGGGACTAAGTGCTCCGCCCAAGGGGGGAGAGCCCTGGGGACTAAGTGCTCCGCCCAAGGGGGGAGAGCCCTGGGGACTAAGTGCTCCGCCCAAGGGGGGAGAGCCCTGGGGACTAAGTGCTCCGCCCAAGGGGGGAGAGCCCTGGGGACTAAGTGCTCCGCCCAAGGGGGGGAGAGCCCTGGGGACTAAGTGCTCCGCCCAAGGGGGGAGAGCCCTGGGGACTAAGTGCTCCGCCCAAGGGGGGAGAGCCCTGGGGACTAAGTGCTCCGCCCAAGGGGGGAGAGCCCTGGGGACTAAGTGCTCCGCCCAAGGGGGAGAGCCCTGGGGACTAAGTGCTCCGCCCAAGGGGAGAGCCCTGGGGACTAAGTGCTCCGCCCAGGGGAAACCCTGGGGGGGGGGGGAGCCCTGGGGACTAAGTGCTCCGCCCAAGGGGGGGAGAGCCCTGGGGACTAAGTGCTCCGCCCAAGGGGGGGGGAGAGCCCTGGGGACTAAGTGCTCCGCCCAAGGGGGGGGGAGAGCCCTGGGGACTAAGTGCTCCGCCCAGGGGGGGAGCCCTGGGGACTAAGTGCTCCGCCCAAGGGGGGAGAGCCCTGGGGACTAAGTGCTCCGCCCAAGGGGGGAGAGCCCTGGGGACTAAGTGCTCCGCCCAAGGGGGGAGAGCCCTGGGGACTAAGTGCTCCGCCCAAGGGGGGAGAGCCCTGGGGACTAAGTGCTCCGCCCAAGGGGGGAGAGCCCTGGGGACTAAGTGCTCCGCCCAAGGGGGGAGAGCCCTGGGGACTAAGTGCTCCGCCCAAGGGGGGAGAGCCCTGGGGACTAAGTGCTCCGCCCAAGGGGGGGGGGAGCCCTGGGGACTAAGTGCTCCGGCCCAAGGGGGGAGCCCTGGGGACTAAGTGCTCCGCCCAAGGGGGAGCCCTGGGGACTAAGTGCTCCGCCCAAGGGGGGGGAGAGCCCTGGGGACTAAGTGCTCCGCCCAAGGGGAGAGCCCTGGGGACTAAGTGCTCCGCCCAAGGGGGGGGGGAGAGCCCTGGGGACTAAGTGCTCCGCCCAAGGGGGGAGAGCCCTGGGGACCAAGTGCTCCGCCCAAGGGGGGAGAGCCCTGGGGACCAAGTGCTCCGCCCAAGGGGGGAGAGCCCTGGGGACTAAGTGCTCCGCCCAAGGGGGGAGAGCCCTGGGGACTAAGTGCTCCGCCCAAGGGGGGGGAGCCCTGGGGACTAAGTGCTCCGCCCAAGGGGGGGGGAGAGCCCTGGGGACTAAGTGCTCCGCCCAAGGGGGGGGGGAGCCCTGGGGACTAAGTGCTCCGCCCAAGGGGGGGAGGAGCCCTGGGGACTAAGTGCTCCGCCCAAGGGGGGGGAAGAGCCCTGGGGACTAAGTGCTCCGCCCAAGGGGGGGGGAAGAGCCCTGGGGACTAAGTGCTCCGCCCAAGGGGGGGGGAAGAGCCCTGGGGACTAAGTGCTCCGCCCAAGGGGGGGAAGAGCCCTGGGGACTAAGTGCTCCGCCCAAGGGGGGGAAGAGCCCTGGGGACTAAGTGCTCCGCCCAAGGGGGGGAAGAGCCCTGGGGACTAAGTGCTCCCCCAAGGGGGGGGGGGAAGAGCCCTGGGGACTAAGTGCTCCGCCCAAGGGGGGGGGAGAGCCCTGGGGACTAAGTGCTCCGCCCAAGGGGGGGAGAGCCCTGGGGACTAAGTGCTCCGCCCAAGGGGGGGAGAGCCCTGGGGACTAAGTGCTCCGCCCAAGGGGGGGAGAGCCCTGGGGACTAAGTGCTCCGCCCAAGGGGGGGAGAGCCCTGGGGACTAAGTGCTCCGCCCAAGGGGGGGAGAGCCCTGGGGACTAAGTGCTCCGCCCAAGGGGGGGAGAGCCCTGGGGACTAAGTGCTCCGCCCAAGGGGGGGGGAGAGCCCTGGGGACTAAGTGCTCCGCCCAAGGGGGGAGAGCCCTGGATTTCCCCTGGATTTCCAACACACATCACTACAATGTAACCTTTGGTAACTCAAACCCTCTATGAATTGAAGTTTCGCTAACTCGAACCAATTTTTTTTTCCCCTTAGGTCATTTTCTATATTATTTCACCCTTGATAACTCGAAAAATGTTTTGAGCCCTTAAGCTCAAAGGTCTTTAGAAGTATGTTTTTATTTCACCTTGACATTTCTTTAATTAAATGTGATTAAATTGTTTATTGTGCAGTAACAACTGTTTTTAACCTCAATCTCGGCTATATTTTTCGAGCTCCCGATAACTCGAACTTTTTTCGATTTCCCTTGAAGGTTAGGTTCGATTTACCGGGTGTCGACTGTACATGCCAAGGACATGTTATTTAAAAGATAATTTCTCAGCTCCTTCCCTTCCCTCCAGAAAAATACTGGTCTGTCCCTTATTACCGTCAATGCAATTGACTCTCAATAGATGATCATTGTAATTGCATTTACTTTATAACGGCCAACTCTACTATAGGGTACGATCCCCGCCAAAAATCATTTTTTAAATTTTAAGTTGTTGATTTTGATTTTTAACTTCGACGCTTCAATTTTAATTTACGGCTGAATTCAAAAATTTACACTTAAAATTCACATTACTGTAGAACGTTTTTACAATTGTCTTTTAGCTTTTGAACTCGCTTTGGCAATTACACAGTCAAACCATATGATTTTTAACTGGAGGATCAAATTTTTATACACTGCCACTTTTTATTATTTTTTAAGCCTTAGCCAGTACATACGAACTTTGCATTAGATACTCACTCGGCGCATTCAAAACATGAATTTTGGCGGGGATCGTAAGCCATACTGTACGACTAGTCATCGAAATCTTTTTTAAGTTTAATTATCTCATTTTAGAGGACATTGAAAGTCCTTTCCAGTGGAAGAGCAATGCCAATCTCCATTAAACTATCAATAACTTTTATATACATTGCTTGAACATCATCCACACCAGACTGCTTTCCTGAATTTTTAAAATAATGAATCACAGCACACAATAAACAAGTTTCTAGAAAATTTAGAGCAGACGTAGAATCGGAGCTACGCGGAGGCTGCAAGTGATGGGTACGACTATGTTTAAAGGCCTTAAATCCCCCCAGTTACTAGTAGTTCCTAGTAGATATTGGTACTATCAACGGAGTGTTTTAAAAAGCTGGTAATGACTGTAGCTGAGTTTGTCTGCATGGTAGTGATGGGAAGTGATGTGTAGTGATGAGTAGTGATGTGTAGTGATGGGTATTGATGGGTAGTGATGTATAGTGATGTGTACTGATGGATAGTGATGGGTAGTAATGTGTAGTGATGTGTAGTTATGGGTAGTGATGTGTAGTGATGGATAGTGATGAGTAGTGATGTGTAGTGATGGGTAGTGATGGATAGTGATGTGTAGTGATGTGTAGTGATGGGTAGTGATGAGTAGTGATCTGTAGTAATATGCAGTGATGTGTAGTGATATGTAGTGATATGTAGTGATGTGTAGTGATGTGTAGTGATGGGTAGTGATGAGTAGTGATATGCAGTGATATGTAGTGATGTGTAGTGATATGTAGTGATGTGTAGTGATATGTAGTGATGTGTAGTGATGTGTAGTGATGGAAAGTGATTGGTGCTGATGGGTAGTGATGCATAGTTATGTTTAGTGACACATAGTTACATGTTACATCATGTTAATTTTATGCGGATTTTTTGTATTCGTGTAGGAGAACACGGATTTCAAACTCAACTCTTGTAATTAATTGCCACGTCCACAGGGTAAAAATATGAGTTTTACTAGAAAGATGTTTAGAATTTTAACCAGGAGAATTTTAACTTGTTAATTTAAAAAGGGCGGGTTATTGAGCATTTTGGTTCATAATAGCCCAAAAGGTACCAAAAAAGTGCTAGATTTCCGAAAAGTTGCTAGAAGTTGCTCTCTGACAAAAACGTTGCTCAAAATCCTACAAGTTGCTAAAAAGTTGCCAAGCAGAATCTGGAAAGGCCTACCCTCGACCCCACCCTGGGGATCTTCTCCAATCATTCGACTCACTGCACTGCAGCAGTTCTTATTAATGCACAGTAGACCTTCAGGCCATTTGTCTAAAAATTGAAGAGAAAATCCTCCTTGGGTTTGCACTCAGCCTCGAAATAGAATTGCCAGGTTACCAGTGCTGCTGAAAAAGCCAGGTTACCAAGGAAGCTCCGCAAGGTTATTCTTTCATGTTACGCTTACGCCAAATAGACCTAGTGTTTCATATAACAGTAATAGAATGTCCATTCTCCTGTATACCCATGTATACCCTGTATACCCTGTATACCCATGTATACCCTGTATACCCATGTATACCTTGTATACCCTGTATACCCATGTATACCTTGTATACCTTGTATACCCTGTATACCCTGTGATACCCATGTATACCCATGTACTCCCAGTATACCCTGTATACCCTGTATACCCATGTATACCCTGTATACCCTGTATACCCATGTATACCCTGTATACCCATGTATACCTTGTATACCTTGTATACCCTGTATACCCTGTATACCCATGTATACCCATGTACTCCCAGTATACCCTGTATACCCTGTATACCCTGTATACCCATGTATACCCTGTATACCCTGTATACCCATGTATACCCTGTATACCCATGTATACCTTGTATACCTTGTATACCCTGTATACCCTGTATACCCATGTATACCCATACACTCCCAGTATACCCTGTATACCCTGTATACCCTGTATACCCTGTATACCCATGTATACCCTGTATACCCTGTATACCCATGTATACCCTGTATACCCATGTATACCCTGTATACCCTGTATACCCATGTATACCCTGTATACCCATGTATACCCTGTATACCCTGTATACCCATGTATACCCTGTATACCCATGTATACCCATGTATACCCTGTATACCCTGTATACCCTGTATACCCATGTATACCATGTACTCCCTGTATACCCTGTATACCCTGTATACCCTGTATACCCATGTATACCCATGTATACCCTGTATACCCTGTATACCCTGTATACCCATTGTATACCTTGTATACCCTGTATGCCCCTGTATACCCTGTATACCTGTATACCCTGTATACCCATGTACTCCCAGTATACCCTGTATACCCTGTATACCCATGTATACCCATGTACTCCCAGTATACCCTGTATACCCTGTATACCCATGTATACCCTGTACACCCATGTATACCTTGTATACCTTGTATACCCTGTATACCCTGTATACCCATGTATACCCATGTACTCCCAGTATACCCTGTATACCCTGTATACCCATGTATACCCATGTACTCCCAGTATACCCTGTATACCCTGCATACCCTGTATACCCATGTATACCCATGTATACCCTGTATACCCATGTATACCCTGTATACCTATGTATACCCTGTATACCCTGTATACCCTGTATACCCATGTATACCCTGTATACCCTGTATACCCATGTATACCCTGTATACCCATGTATACCTTGTATACCTTGTATACCCATGTATACCCTGTATACCCTGTATACCCATGTATACCCTGTATACCCATGTATACCTTGTATACCTTGTATACCCTGTATACCCTGTATACCCATGTACTCCCAGTATACCCTGTATACCCTGTATACCCATGTATACCCTGTATACCCTGTATACCCATGTATACCCTGTATACCCATGTATACCTTGTATACCTTGTATACCCTGTATACCCTGTATACCCATGTATACCCATGTACTCCCAGTATACCCTGTTATACCCTGTATACCCATGTATACCCTGTATACCCATGTATACCTTGTATACCTTGTATACCCTGTATACCCTGTATACCCTGTATACCCATGTATACCCATGTACTCCCAGTATACCCTGTATACCCTGTATACCCATGTATACCCATGTACTCCCAGTATACCCTGTATACCCTGTATACCCTGCATACCCTGTATACCCATGTATACCCATGTATACCCTGTATACCCATGTATACCCTGTATACCTATGTATACCCTGTATACCCTGTATACCCTGTATACCCATGTATACCCTGTATACACTGTATACCCATGTATACCCTGTATACCCATACATACCCTTGTATACCCTGTATACCCTGTATACCCTGTATACCCATGTATACCCTGTATACCCTGTATACCCTGTATACCCATGTATACCCTGTATACCTATGTATACCCTGTATACCTATGTATACCCTGTATACACTGTATACCCATGTATACCCTGTATACCCATACATACCCTTGTATACCCTGTATACCTTGTATACCCTGTATACCCATGTATACCCTGTATACCCTGTATACCCTGTATACCTATGTATACCCTGTGTACCTATGTATACCCTGTATACCTATGTATACCCTGTATACCCTGTATACCCTGTATACCCATGTATACCCTGTATACCCATGTATACCCTGTATACCTATGTATACCCTGTATACCTATGTATACCCTGTATACCTATGTATACCCTGTATACCCATGTATACCCTGTATACACTGTATACCCATGTATACCCTGTATACCTATGTATACCCTGTATACCCATGTATACCCTGTATACCTATGTATACCCTGTATACCATGTATACCCATGTATACCCTGTATACCTATGTATACCCTGTATACCCTGTATACCCTGTATACCCATGTATACCCTGTATACCCTGTATACCCTGTATACCCATGTATACCCTGTATACCTATGTATACCCTGTATACCCATGTATACCCTGTATACCTATGTATACCCTGTATACCTGTGTATACCCTGTTTTGTCTGTATACCCATGTATACCCTGTATACCCATGTATACCCTGTATACCCATGTGCTCCCTGTATACCCTGTATACCCTGTATACTCATGTATACCCTGTATACTGATGTATACCCTGTATACCCTGTATACCCTGTATACCGATGTATACCCTGTAGATCCTGTATACCCTGTATACTCATGTATACCCTGTATACCTTGTATACCCTGTATACCCATGTATACCTTGTATACTCATGTATACCCTGTATACCCTGTATACCCTGCATTTCTTGTATACCCATGTATACTTATGTACTCCCTGTATATCCATGTATACACTGTATACCCTGTGTGCCCGGTATACCCTGTCTACCCTTTAGTAAAAAAATCATGTTTGATATACAAAATAAATCTTTTATGTAAACAATTTAATATTGAAAATAAATCAGTTACTTTTATCTAAAACCCTTCTGCTTTCCTACAGTTTGTCAGTACATTTTAAAAACCACCAGGTCAATCTGATAAGTGCAAACAAAAAAACTAAACTTCTACTCCACCTATACAAACGAAAAAAAGTACTCTGAATTCATTTAGCATATCAGGAAGCCTGAACATAAACGCATCGCCTTCAAATTTAAGATAGGAAATCACAAATCTGAAAGATTTACAATCCGCAAAACTCCCGAAGACCTAAGAATTTGTGATCACTGCAGTCTAAATTGTTGAAAATTAAATACACCTATTATTTCATTGGTCCTTAAAAAGTCTCTTTTCACTAAAATGAATGACGAAATACGTTATTTACAAATTAAAATACTAATGATAAAATCTGTTTTCTTTTTAATATTAATACTGATTCGTACATGCGCAAGCGTACTGCTACCTTCGTCTTCCAATCATTTGAGAGACGAAAGAAGAATAATGATAATAATAATCGATAAATTATCCCATTCTATTATATCTGTAACTCCTTTGCAATCTTCGTCTTGATATTATTGTATTTCAGTGTACCGGTAACACCATGTTAAAAAATATATAGTAATACTAAATAAACTTGTTGTTGTTGTTGTTGTATTCTTTGTATTTCCTTTATCTTTCCATTTTCAAGAGCAATATCCTATAAATGCGATATCACAGCGACGTCAGTCATTAAATTGACAGATGATGACAATAGAGGGTCATTTGATAAGGTAGAATTCGTAGCCCTTTAATTATTGCTATCATATCATTTTATTTAATTCTACTCATGTTTCTAGAAAATTTATTTTAATTAGGGAAATGATCGCCAGGGTGAAATTGTCGAAGAATGTGTTGGGATTTAATTTTAGGGATATTTATCCATTTGTCGTTTTATTGTTGTTTTGGTTCAGTAGTATTTTAAATGAATAAGATCATTAAACAACATCGATCTAATAGTTAGCATTTCATCATCGATTTGCATATATTTACGTTTTACTAACATTTCAACGTACTTCATAATGTTTTATCCTCAACGAACTATTTCATTAAGGAGGCTGACGACCACCACACCTTTTAGCCTAAAATTGAATGACGAATAGTTTCAAAACCCTCGTTTGCTGTGTTAGCAAGTTTTTAAGACTAAAAGGCTCTTCATATTCAATTCTACTTTCTAAGCCAAACTTTTCTTATTTCCTCAACCTTCAGTAAACTAGAATTTCAAACTGTAGTTTGGCATAAATTTTCAACCTAGCGAGTTGCATCTTGTTCGGAATCTTGTATTGTATTCAACTGTTCAGGACTTTTCAATTTCTCAAATTTTTGCACGAACAAAGAAACCGTACTTAATTCCACATTCTTGTATTTTTTGGGTTCGGTGCAGCTGCAAGGCGCCTACTTTTCGCCTAAACGACGGTATTTGTCTGTGGGAACATTCTCTCTATCGTCTGCACTAAATAGAGCTCAGCTGAGAGCTGCAGTGCTTGTAAACACTTAGTGAGGCCTTCCAAGGGGTAAAAGCGACATGCGACACGGCCCTGAAAACTGGCGACATGGGAATTTTTAAAAAGCGAGAAGTGACATGCCTACGCTGCTAAAATGCGACAGCGACATACTAAACAGTGAAAAACGACGGTGACATTGGAAAGTTGTGCATTTTATCAATAAAAGTGACTCAGAATACAGGAAATTGCATTTCTGAGGGTTCAGATTTTCCAAATTTTCCCGCAGGAGCCTACCCTTAAAGAAGAAGAAGCGTTCATCCTTCGCCGCTCACAAAGTTTTGCCAACTGACCACCATGAAAATCCTGTTATAGCCCTGTTGCGAAACAGTTTCTCGCAAAACAAAATTACTGGTACAGTTATGTACACTTCAAAAACGACAGCGACATTTGCAGCTGTAGATTAGGCGACAACGGTCTCCTAAAGCAAGCGACATTGCGACACAGCTACTCCCCTGGAAGGCCTCCTTAGTCACTTGAATTTCCACCCTTGAGCTGAACCGACTATCAAGAATACTGGAAGCTTAACTGACAACCGTACGTCCTACTTTGAACCCACTTTAACGATCTGTCCCGTAGAAAAATTGTCTAGATATTTAAACAGATTTCTCCAATCCTGAGTATCAGATGAAATATGTGGACAGCAGTGAAGAGTGATATGTTAGCTCGGAAGGTTAACCTCGGTTTATCTGTCAACTTGTGCCCTTCCCAGGGAATTCTTATTGATTTTTCATAGCAATGTAGAACACCGAGAAAGCGAAGTAAAAAATACAGGCATACCGTGAAAGCGAAACGATCAAGACTTTCACTGGAAGAAAATGACGAAAAAATCAAAGATCCTGGATTGAATGAGCTCGAGTTCTTTGTCATGCATGCTATTATCCAGCATGTCAACTCAAAGAATGATGTCAAAAATGACAACAGTCATTTTTGTGACATGTTTAGCAAAATAGTCAAAGTCGTAAATAGTTTCGCTTTTCTAATGGTTCTTCCCATATTTCACCATTCCTTACAGGTGCTTTACGATGAAAAAAGAAAGTATGATAAGCTAAGGAAACGTTAGATACTATATAATATGTGGCTCTGTACCGTGCATGGACGTAATAGTAAGAGAACACCATATGATCGATAATGAGAACCGTATAATTTTGTGCAAAGAATATCAATATAGTGTGCTTACTCTCACCAGATCTATATGAGATTCCCAAGAGATTCTTAACTCATAGTTGTTAAATTCGCTGTAAAGTTTTATTTATCTTTTGAACGCGAACCTGGGAAATGTTACGTTGTAATATTTGTATAAGTTAATGTTCACACCTTTCTTGTAACTAAACCAATACCTCCCTTTGCAGAGTACTATACTGTTTTGAGGTCTATGTAAGTTATGTATGTTTTATGTAATTTGCATCCTTCAAAGTCAAACCCTGTTTTCTCTTTTTTGATGTCCAAACCACCCCTGCGGAGAAATTTTAAGAGTTATAAGAAGTTGATATTATGCAGTAAACATCTAAAGTCGGTGGCCTTGGTAAATCACAACAAATTGAGCGATGAAGTTATTGTGTATTACCTAATTGTCTATCAGTTTAGCCTACTTCGGAATTTACATTGCCTTAGCCAATAATGTAACGCCGGACCAAATAATGAGTAATTAAAATAATAAGTAATTAAAAGTTTCATCTGATGAGGATAAAGGCTGTCCTTAATCAAAAATGCGAAAACTGTGTACTTAGCAATGGCTGAATGAGCTGATTCAAGCAATTTCTTTCGGTCTCAAAGGGGAGTTAGGCAAGCCTGTCCCCTTTCCCCATATTTGTTTATTCTTGCTGCGGAGATCTTGGCCAAGACCGTCCGGAACAACAAAGGGCATAACAGGTTTTCTCTGGGTAATGACGAAGTTAAGATAAGCCAACACGCTGATGATACCACTCTTGTCTTAGACGGTTGAGAGAAATCCCTTATACCAGCAATACAAAGTTTAGATGATTTTGTCAGATCTCCGGCCTCAAGTTAAACGAGAGCACAACGGAAGCCCTTTGGATCGGTTCTAAGACAGCACATGAACAAATCCTTGTTTCAGGAAAGAAGTTTAAATGGCCAAAATATAAAGTCAAACACTTGGTCTGTGGCTGTCAACCGATCCGGACATGGCTTTGACGTTGAATTACAACGAAAAAACTGAAAACATTAGGAAGCTTTTGAGTTGCTGGAAATATTGCAGGCTCACGTTGTTAGGGAAAATTACTGTCCTTAACTCACTGACCGCATCACAACTGGTATACTTGCTCTTCCCTTTTACGCTCAAATCATTACGCTACAAAGGAAATAAATGACATGTTTTACCATTTTCTATGGAATCGTGAAGGTGACAAAATCAAGAGAAAAGTTATGATCAATGAACCTGAGTATGGAGGTCTGAAGATGATTGACCTTTATCCTTTCAACAAATGTCTTAAAACAACATGGGTTAAAAAGTACTTGGACGCTACTAAAACGGAAAATGGAACGTTATCTTTGATCTATAACTGGAGAACTACGGCCGCGATCTCATTTTCCGTGGTAATCTCAACCGTTGAGACTCAACGTCTCTGACACTATGAAAGAGATTAGGGCAACGGACCCCGTAACTAAAAGAAAAATTGGAGTATTGGAAAGAAATAAACTTTGTGGATAAAGTAAGTTCTGATATCGCTTGTCAAGAACAGGTTCTGTGGTTCAACTCTTTGATAAGGATAGATAATGAAAAATTTTTTTTTAAAGAGTGGTTTGAAATAGGTATCTCCAAAGTTAAACAGGCTCCAATCAGGAAACGATAATTTTCTGACTCTCAAAGATTTTGCCTCCAAACATGATTTAAGAGAACGCCAGCTCAGCTTTTATGGTTTATTATCAGCTGTTAAACAAATTCGCAAAAATGTTACCGATACTGCTGAGAAAAGAGACTATACCTTTGAAACAGATTAGGTTAAAAAATTGTTAAGAGAGAAAAGCCAGGTCCATTAATTTACCAAAAACTGATCATATCCAAAAGTTTAACCCCACGTAAAAGCCAACTAAAGTGGCTTCAAGACCGTGCAACTACTCAGACGAAGAAGGAACATTAAATTGGGAAATTGCCTATCTTATGGCGCAACGGTGCACAAAAAGCACCAAACTGATAGAGTTCCAATTTAAACTATTACATAGGCGCACACCAACCAATGACTTAACCAATTACTTAAAATAGGACGAAAAGAAAATGACAACTGTACCTTTTGCAACAATTCCTCAGAGACTCTAATTCATCTTTTTTGGCCTTGCCATGTTACATGAGTATACAGGGTATAAAGGGTATACATGGGTATACAGGGTATACATGAGTATACAGGGTATACAGGGTATACAGGGTATACAAGGTATACAGGGTATACAGGGTATACTGGGAGTACATGGGTATACATGGGTATACAGGGTATACAGGGTATACAAGGTATACAAGGTATACATGGGTATACAGGGTATACATGGGTATACAGGGTATACTGGGAGTACATGGGTATACAGGGGTATACAGGGTATACAGGGTACACTAGGAGTACATGGGTATACAGGGGTATACAGGGTATACAGGGTATACAAGGTATACAGGGTATACATGGGTATACAGGGTATACATAAGTATACAGGGGTATACAGGGTATACAGGGTATACAGGGTATACGAGGTATACAGGGTATACAGGGTATACATGGGTATACAGGGTATACATAAGTATACAAGGTATACAGGGTATACATAAGTATACAAGGTATACAGGGTATACATGGGTATACAGGGCATACAGGGTATACAAGGTGTACATGGGTATACAGGGTATACAGGGTATACATGGGTATACAGGGTATACAAGGTATACAAGGTATACATGGGTATACAGGGTATACATGGGTATACAGGGTATACATGTGTATACAGGGTATACATGAGTATACAGGGTATACAGGGTATACTGGGAGTACATGGGTATACAGGGGTATACAGGGTATACAGGGTATACAGGGTATACATGGGTATACAGGGTATACATAAGTATACAGGGGTATACAGGGTATACAGGGTATACATGGGTATACAGGGTATACATGAGTATACAAGGTATACATGGGTATACAGGGTATACATGGGTATACAGGGTATACATGAGTATACAAGGTATACAGGGTATACATGGGTATACAGGGTATACAGGGTATACAAGGTGTACATGGGTATACAGGGTATACAGGGTATACATGGGTATACAGGGTATATAGGGTATACATGGGTATACAGGGTATACAAGGTATACATGGGTATACAGGGTATACAAGGTATACATGAGTATACAGGGTATACATGAGTATACAAGGTATACATGGGTATACAGGGTATATAGGGTATACATGGGTATACAGGGTATACAAGGTATACAAGGTATACATGGGTATACAGGGTATACATGGGTATACAGGGTATACATGTGTATACAGGGTATACATGAGTATACAGGGTATACAGGGTATACAAGGTATACATGGGTATACAGGGTATACAGGGTATACATAGGTATATAGGGTATACATGGGTATACAGGGTATACATGGGTATACAGGGTATACATGGGTATACAGGGTATACAGGGTATACAGGGTATACAGGGTATACATAGGTATACAGGGTATACATGGGTATACAGGGTATACATAAGTATACAGGGGTATACAGGGTATACATGGGTATACAGGGTATACATGAGTATACAAGGTATACATGGGTATACAGGGTATACATGGGTATACAGGGTATACATGAGTATACAAGGTATACAGGGTATACATGGGTATACAGGGTATACAGGGTATACAAGGTGTACATGGGTATACAGGGTATACAGGGTATATACAGGGTATACAGGGTATACAGGGTATACAAGGTATACAGGGTATACATGGGTATACAGGGTATACAAGGGTATACATGGGTATACAGGGTATACATAGGTATACAGGGTATACATGGGTATACAGGGTATACAGGGTATACAGGGTATACATAGGTATACAGGGTATACATAGGTATACAGGGTATACATAGGTATACAGGGTATAAAGGGTATACATAGGTATACAGGGTATACATGGGTATACAGGGTATACATGGGTATACAGGGTATACAGGGTATACAGGGTATACATAGGTATACAGGGTATACATGGGTATACAGGGTATACATGGGTATACATGGGTATACAGGGTATACAGGGTATACATAGGTATACAGGGTATACAGGGTATACATAGGTATACAGGGTATACATAGGTATAAAGGGTATACAGGGTATACAGGGTATACATAGGTATACAGGGTATACAGGATATACATAGGTATACAGGGTATACATTGGTATACAGGGTATACATGGGTATACAGGGTATACAGGATATACAGGGTATACAAGGGTATGTATGGGTATACAGGGTATACATGGGTATACAGGGTATACAGGGTATACAGGGTATACAGGGTATACATACAGGGTATACAGGGTATACAGGGTATACAGGGTATACAGGGTATACAGGGTATACATAGGTATACAGGGTATACAGGGTATACAGGGTATACAGGGTATACATAGGTATACAGGGTATACAGGGTATACATAGGTATACAGGGTATACAGGGTATACATGGGTATACAGGGTATACAGGGTATACAGGGTATACAGAGTATACAGGGTATACAGGGTATACATAGGTATACAGGGTATACAGGGTATACATAGGTATGCAGGGTATACATGGGTATACATAGGTATACAGGGTATACAGGGTATACATGGGTATACAGGGTATACAGGGTATACAGGGAGATAAACAATCTATTACTATTACATGAAGGATATATCTATTTGGCGTAAGCGTAACATGAAAGAATAACCCTCCGCAAGCCGGTGAGTTTACAAGCATGACGTAAGGTATTCCAGCTGGACATCGTGTGCTAATTCATTGTCTTTTTCTCTAACACTTGCCATATTTTGGCAGGATGACTGTTGAAGATCTTCCTGAAAAGCTGCTTAAAGTCAAGGGAAGAAGTCCACTGCGGCAAAATTACGACAATACTTACGTTAACCACATGGCGTCCACGTCGAGGACAGTGACAGACTCGTCACTCAAAAGTAAGCTAGAGTAATGCCTGCCTCGCAAATCGGTACTTTGAGAGAAACTCCTTTAACTATAGCTTTTCCGTGCGAAATACCTGGTGGTATACGCCCTTCACCACGTAAATCTGAATGTTTTTTTTTTTAACCATGTGAAACCAATATTCAACACCTTGATGATCACAGTTGTAGTGAAAATGTGTGAAAGACTTCCTTCGATACTTCTCGATTTGCCCATCTGTCTAATCGAACATTCACGAGAAACTTTAAACGTATTAAAGTTTAAATACTTTATTTTAACTTACCTTAAACGTATTAGTAATAAAATAACAAGTGGATACATCCTTATCGATCCTTAAATAGGCATGATTGTAGCCTGACACATAGTTAGTAGAGGGGACCCCTCTACTAACTATGCCTGACATTGGAAAAAAAAATTCGAGAAAAAATACTAAATTACATATGTTGCTGGTGACTGGTTTTTTGTTTAAGTACAAATTCTGGGAAAAAAAGGTCTTCTTGTTTTTCCAACCAACATGGCTGCCTTGTTGTGTGGTTGCCCCGGGGGGGGGGGTTATATGGGCTATATAGGTATGTGCCGCTGTGAAGGGTATGGTTTTCAATTCGTTTACTCTAGGATAGGGTATATAAATCAGAGCGTTTGGGTCTAGAATAGGGTATCATTTTTCAGGAAACTGATCAGTTGGTTGAAGATTTTATCAAGACGGGGGAAACAGCCACTCTAAGATAGGGGGATTTGGGGAGTTTACTCTAGTATAGGGTAGCAAAATTCAGCTGAACTAGCTCTGGTATAGGTGAAGGGTTCCAGGGTCCCAGCGGCACATCCCCACCCAGAAATTCCTAAAGTAACCCCCCCCCTCCCCCCCGGGTGGTTGCAAACCACTGCTTTGAGTCAACTGTAGAGATCATAAAACTGTGAAAGGTTTGAACCCAGGAGTCATTTCAAAAGTAGGTTGAGTTTGATCGTCCGGGTGAACGTAGTCCTGAATAGGACTGTTGTTGTTGACAGTGACTGATGTTTCGACAACCTGTGCGGTAGTCATCTTCAGAGTCAAAGAGAGTTGTATCACGTCAGTTGATGGTTTTATACTCTGGTTATTGATCTGATTGACCAATCAGATCAATAACCAGAGTAAAGGGGGGAATTTCATATATCCCATGATGCATCGCTTGATACTATATTATCAAGCTTCTGAACGCACGTGATCCTATCAGTTCTCATCAGTTCAACAGGGACGCGACAGTTGAACAACGGTGGAAAGCGACTTGTTTTGCCGATAAAACCTTCTGTACCTTTGCTGTGTCGATCTATTTACGATTTTCGTTCTACTATTCCAAATATATCTCTTGTTAATTCAAAGAGAGTGTTTGGCCGCCGATTATTAGTTAACTACTCAGGGGCACCCAACGAGGATATAGTTCAAAACCACTTAACATAGCATTGTTCAAAGTATTTTTGTATTTAAACGTGAGATATAGGCATCTTTTTATCCCCTAAAATTTTTCATCTGTTCGGATTTCCCACCTGAAAGTCTAGTGATCCGAAAATTATAGGGATCACAACTGACCTTTTCGAAAATTTCAGCCAGGAAAAGGCTCCCGAAAATTCTAGGTGGCCTTTTTTAGGGTAAATATCCGTTTAAAATGGATAATTATACTATTTTGTAGATGTCCGAAAATCCTAGGAGGGGGAGGCAAGCAAGAAATTTTACAACAAATGTTCCGAAAATTCTAGTTCTCAAATCGTCTTCCGAACAGATATTTTCCCGAAAATTACCGTTGGGTGCCCCTGACTACTGTAACTAGCCTTACGATCGCAAGGCAATCCACGCAAATGTTCTTAGAAGCTAGCGAGGAAGGTCTTTGCTTCAGTACGTCCTGTATTAACGTGCGTTGATAAAGCTCTCCATGGATTTACAAGTGATTCCCACGTACTTGTCTTGAAATAAATACATATTCTAGGTGTGAGATTTCTCTTCGTTGCTTGTTTGTGATCGCGGTGTTCATATTGTCAGTTCAATAATTCATCGATACAGTACATCAACCGTTCGTTGACCGCACATGCATTTACTTCAACAAGCTCGGCTTATGCAGTCGAAAATACCGAGACCATTAAAGTACAAAGTGACGAGTATCGGAGATAAAATTCAAAGGAAGGGAATAGCTCTATATTTTTCGTAACACAACACCAGCTATGCATTCGTCATTAAGCAATGGCAAAATATATATATGAAACACCCACTTCCTCTTTACAGTGGATCCAAAAGAATTATCAAAATGTCTATAAAGGTTTTATGCGCCGGTTGAGGTCCTACGGCCTGCTATTCCATGACATTTGCTGGCCTGTATATTTCAAGTTCGCCTCGCGCGGTTGCAACCGGAAGCCACCATGAGAAACCAATTTTACCTAAAATAATGAGACAAAAAAGCTTTAATACTATAAACCAGTGAATTTAAACACTCATCATACTCATCATACCCTCAAGAGGTAATACTTGAGTTTTGATCAGCGAAAAAAGAGCGAATTCAAGAAAAAATGTCCCATCTTCGCAGGACTTAGCATAACGAAATTGAAACCTTCGCCTTGCATCGTAGCGGAGAAAGGGCAGAAAATGCGATATTTCAAAACGATCAAACCGATAAAAATCGCGAGGTCGAAAGAGGTCGGAGCGTGGAACTAGCATCAAGCACCCCTTGTCCGCCGATTTATATAATTTATTGGGGCAAAACCTTTCTAGAATAAAGACAGTTTTCGATAATTGAAAGTCATCTGAATAAATATTCACTTGCGAGCTAAAACAGCATGGCTTAACAGGGTCGTAAACGAGAGCAATAATGCGTGAAATGACTTAAGAAACATTTTACATTATCAATCAGATACCAAAGATTAACAGGACTCATTGAAACTTACCTTGGATGAGCTGCATCTTGAAATTCAGGTCGTTGAAAATCTCCCTCGAACCCCTCGAACGCTCTTTCCACCGCGAAGAGAAGACAGAAATTAGCCGCCAAGCATCATGGGATATATGAAATTCCCCCCTTTAACCAGAGTATAATACCAGGCAATGAATAGGGGAAACAAATGAGAATTCAAATTTTGATCTTAGTGTTTAAAGAGTTAAAGGTAAACAACAATGAAAGAAAAAGAGATAAGAGTAGATTCTTGGTACTTACACACATCATGTCCTTGGTTTATTTATTGATTAAGTGTAATGTGATGTATTTGCAAAGATCTTTTCATTCCTGGGTTAACTTTTTTAATCACATACAACTCTTGTCTGTTTTCTTTAGAGTCAAGGACAGCAGCACAGCAAGCTGAAAGTAACACTGGACCCTTTGTTGTATTAGGTCTTATCTTTGTAGCATCTCTTGTAGCAATGGCATTTGTTTATTGGAGCTTTCCTAATCTTAAACCGTAAGTTTCTTTCTTCTTTGTAAGTTTAATAGTAAGTTTTCAAAACTGTTAATGGATATGAGTTCTATAAGAGGAAAATATAACCATTTGAATTTGCTTGACAAAATTTATGCAAGGGCCTCTCTGACATTTGCCAATTTGAAAATGGAAAAATAAAGCTTTCCCTTCTCCATCTCCTCCACCCAATTTTATGCTGCTGTTTGAGCTACCTGTAGAAAACAACAAACACCCCAACTTTGAATGGAGGGGAGGGTTTGTGGATTGTTTTGTTCTCTAAAGTTACCACATTTGAAGAAAATGTCTCTATTGCTGATTGTGGCCTCAAATGGTTGTCTTTTTCGACATAGCAATACAATTCACATTAATAGAGGATATTCCATTTAATACCAGAAAAAGTGTACAATCACATTGTCCCTGAGATATACATGTAACCTAATGACCAGAATCCCTGTTTCTTCAATGTATTTATTTAAATATATTCATCATTTTGAGAAATAAAGTCAATAATCCTGCCATTAAACCCCCTGACTTATTAGGGAGCTTAAGCCACTACGACGGTGACAGGTACAGAAACGTTCACTTAAAGAGTGAATTTGTGCTGTCCTGAACTCTATCACCCTTATTCCATCTCGTTCAATTTGTCAAATGTTGGCATTTTTTTCTGGAGTTGAATTCTAAAGGACTGTGTCAAGGTACAGGAAAAGAAAAAGAAAGTCGTTGTCTTCTGTTCGCGTCCTCCACTAAACATGAAATTAGGCATTTTCACGTCGTAGTCATGCAGTGATGGCAAAGAAATGTATAAAAATGTGCGATGGGCATGCAAAGTTGTTGTTTTGCTTATCAAATCTATTGGTTTTTGGCCATTCTCTTCGCCATCGGCATCGCCGTCATCATTGCCTAAGCTCCTTATTGAGTAAGATCAAAATCCCTCTGCTTGCAGGGTGATGCATGAAAATCTAATTGAGTTGATTTTTTAGGGAAGACAAGGCCAGCATAAAACTGCCAAGGAATATGACAGATGCCCAAGGCCTGGGGAAAGCCTTGTCTAATTACACTGAGAAGTACTTCACTCAAGTTCTTGGAGGATATGTTGTTATATATATTTTGTATCCTTCTGATTGTAATGCACTAACTGTTATGTTTACATTGTCATAAGTTTTACTTGGAAATTACATTAAATGTAATTTAATAGTAAAATTTTTACCAGCTAAAATGATAAAATACAAGTAATAACTATTATTGTCTGTAGGTTTCAAAAATAATCCCCTTGCAACCATCCCAGTTGTTTGTTAATCTTATAACCACCATTTACTTTTCATGGTAGGAAATCCAAGAACAGAAAAATTATAATAATTGTCTAAATGTTGAAAGATGCTTTTGGGTACTAATAAGCCATTAATTTTGCATGACAACGTCATTGTACTATTACGACTAGAATCCTTCAAGGTTTCGCTTTCTCATTCAAATTAGTGCTTTTGTTATTTAAATCTTGCTGGGATTAACAAATTTAGGTATGAAAGGAAACCCGGAAAGGATTCGTGGTCTTGGTAGTAAAATGACACCGTCGTGTAAATGGCCTATTATATTGAGATATATATATAACAGCCAACTTGTTTTAATTAACTCATGTGGTTAAAAAGTCTTAACTTCTTTTTGATAGCTTACAAACATTTGCAATTCCTGGATCAATTTTTCTCAGTATTTTATCAGGATTCTTGTTCCCTTTTCCCTTAGCACTATTTCTTGTCTGTCTGGTGAGTAAATAGTATTATAGCATAACAACAGTAAACTAGTTCTCTGATTGGTCCATTTTCTCTTTGCCTCTGATTCCATCTGATAAAAGCCAGCACCCAGTCTTTGTAGTAGGTGTCAATACATTTGTGTGTGTAATATTATGAAATTTTCAATTTAGTGAAGTTACTCAAGAATTTTTTCCAATAATCATTATAATTGCAAGAAAGTTTGCATGACATTAGCTCTGAAACTCAAAAACATGAAACTCACGTTCAATGCACATGAATATTCATTCTTCTGAGTACCATATTTGGGAAACAAAACTCTGCGTGTGAAGCACACTGTTTTTGCATTTCTTTGTCGATACTGCACAACTACGACATGAAATGTCGTAATTTCATGTTTTATGAAGGACGTGAACAGGAGAAAACTATTTAATGTTTCTTTCTTAGAATGCAGTGTTTTAGAATTCAACTCCAGAAACATTCACCAACATTAATTGACAAATTGAATGAGTTGGAATAAGAGCCAAGAAGTTTGAAGCAACCCAAATTTACTTTTTGTGTGATATGATGTTTTCGTAACTGTCGGTGTCATAGTTGCTAAAACTCGCTATTTTTTTAGCAGGCAGGGATCTGGAGTAAAATCATGTCATTTTGTGTGCGAAGTTTGATTTGTTTGGTTATCTTTTCCTCTCATTCCAAATATAGTACTTGTGAAAATGAATGAGCATCGGACAAAGAGAACATATGAGAATTACACGTTTCAACCCCTTATGAGTTTCTGATTAGCTTTGATAGTTTTTTTTTAACCGAAAAAAGTATTACAAGCTACCTTGACCAATTTAGACCAGAACAATAAATTGAAATGCCTATAGATGTATAATAAAAAGTTGTACTTAAATTATACTTATTTATACATGCATTCACATCACTGGAGACAGAAGGGCACATTATCAGGGAACAAAAACCAGTTCCAGATAAGTTCAGAAGTGTTTGAATTCTGTGCTTCTTTTTGACCAGAAAATTTTTTTGTTTTAGTGAGAGAGCAGAGAATCGAACCCAGGAGCTCTCCCACTTTTATTGAAACTATGGGTGCAGCAAAGTGTGCCAGGCACCATTCAATCCCAAATAACTGACCGTGAATCTCAGAGACTGAACATAGTAGCGGTCAAGCTTTATATTATGGTCACCTGACAACTTCCCAAAATATTCAGCTGCCTTATATTTTCTGCAAGGTTGACCTGTAAATAGCAATCACCCTGTATATAACAGTCACCTTTCCATTTCCCAGGAGTGATCATTGTACACAGGTTTGACTGTAACAACAAACCATGTTAAGTATTTTATTTGTTCATACTCTAGCTTCAGATCAGCGCGATTGACTATTCATCTGGCCCCAGTTGTTCAAAAGATGGATATGTGCTATCTCTATCCAGTGGATAACATAATTGGTTTTCATAATACAAATCCACTGGGTAGCAAATATTATTTAAGCAGTGGATAGCCCTATCCAACTTTTGAACAACAAGGGCCTGATACACAACTGTCACTTTGTTTTTAGTGTTCCAGTGTAGGTGCATCGTTCTGCTACTTATTATTCTACTTGGTTGGTCGTCAGTTAGTGCAACATTACTTGCCAGAGAGAGTTAATCAGTGGCAGGAGCAGGTATTATTGCTGATATTAATTTAATATTAGTGTTTTATTTCTTAATCATTAATAGTCCCTCTCTGAGGTAACTGTTGGTGCAAGAGCTTTGGTTTTTGAACTATTACAATTTAGTCAAATCCAACTAGTGGTCTATTATCAATGCTGCATTCTGATTGGTTGAGCTACTACTAGGCTATATGTTATAGCCCCCTAGTAGCGAAAAGCGCAGGCTTTTTGGCAGCAAAAAGGATTAAAGTCTAGCTTTTAAGTAGATAAAATTTTTTTTATTCTCGATATTTTTGACCAACTAGTTGCATTTTACTGAAACAATTATTATTCCTCTCGCCCTCATGGCCTCTGAGTCAATAGACCATTCGGCCTTCAGCCTCATGGGCTATTGACTCAGAGCCAATTCGGGCTTGAGGAATAATTGTTAAATATATAGTTGAACCACCATTTGCAACCACTTCTCACAAAGTGACCACCTTTTGGCCTCATGGTTTTATAGATTTCCATTGTTTTTAAACTCTTGAAAAGTTGATGTGGTCTAGTCTCTTTGTGCACTGTATGTGTTATGCCAGTCATGGTACATGAAGAACTTTTCGTGACAGCATGGAACTACACATATATGTAACTTGGAAATTGCATGCAATAAATTCTTTGCCAAAAAGAAGATGTGTCTGGACCTCATCCTGGAGAGACCACCTGTGGTTTGATTCTTTTAAGCGACCACCCCCCATAAACAACAACTAAATCTTCACAGTTTGGGTGGTCGTTTACGAGCAGTTTGACTGTACAATCATCACCACCTTTGACCTTAAAAAGTCACTCTAGCTATAGATGTATGGTCTCAAAATATCTAGGATGAAATATTTCCTGCTAGTTTCATTTTTACACAATGTTGATTTAAGACAAACCTCTGGAATCCAGGGTTTCTGAATAAGAATTTATTAGTAAACCCACAAGAGGCTAAAGTGGGTTAACTGCCTGTAACCTCGAGTCAGAGAATTACCCAATTTTTTCTCATTAAAGCATTATTTTATACTCTCTAGCATTTAAATTATTTGAAGTGCTATGTGTTGGTGCTATTATTTTGATAATATAATTTTTATATTTCTTTTTAACAGGTCTCCCACCACCGAGACAACCTCTTAAGCTATATAATATTTTTGCGTATCACTCCATTTCTTCCCAACTGGTTTATTAACATCACCTCACCAGTTATAGGAGTTCCACTTTTACCATTTTTCATTGGCACATTTGTAGGTAAGTATGTTAAATAAAAACATCAGGCAGTTTACATGTAAATCATCCAACTAGTGCAACAAGAAAGAAGTGTGAGAAATGGAGTTTACATCTTCACTGTATTCTGAAGAATATTTTTGCTTAATGATTGTGATGATAATTTGACTTAAATTAACACAATTTTTTTAAATCCGCATTTATTTCCCATAATATTAATTGTAATTGTACTGTAAATTGAATTGCGAACATCAAGATTTGAACTTATGATCTCCCAAACACTGGCCATTTACTAGATTTGAATTATACCACCAGTATCAGGAATTATAATACTTATACAGTAGTCTATTACTGTACTTTTGAAGTTTCACCCATATATTAATGGTTATCTCTTTTTCAATTATCACTTGTTAAGCACAGCATTTGATGAATCAGCATTACAGTAGCAAAACTTTTATGATGAGCTATTTGTAATTATTGTTCTAGAAATTTAACACTTGACACTTTAATAATAATATTTACTCATTTTTTGTTTCCATTTCATCAGGAGTGGCTCCACCATCATTTGGTTTTATCGGTGCAGGGGTTGAGTTGCATGAACTGACAACTACAGGAGATGTAATGTCTTTCAAGTCAGTCATGATTGTTATAGTCTGTGCCATACTATCACTATTTCCAGTCGTTTTTAAGAGACAATTGAAGGCCAAGATACAATAATTATCACTAGAAAATATTTAAATATTAGTTTAGGCTTTATAGTGAAACAGGTGGGTCAGGATTGAAACGTATTGTAATAAAATCATCATTAATATGGGTCATAAGTGAAAGTTTTTCAAAAGGGGCATTGGTAAAATCTGGAAAAACAGGTGATATGGTAAAGAAAAATTATTTACTGCTGATCAAAAAGTAACCTGCATAGCATGGCAGTTTTGTCAGGTTTCTTGTTGCTCCCACCCCAATCGCCTCGCAGTTTCACTGCGCTCGCCCACCTTGGCTTGGTTGCATGCCTGACCAAAACTGCTATGCTATGCATGCTAATACAAAAGTTAAGCATGCATTTAAAAACGTTATTTATTGTCTACACATGTATTGTTTTTGTTTTCCGAAGCAAGATTTTATAAGAAAGTACTGCAAAATTAATGTTTGGTTTAGATGATCTAGGTTTTAGTTCATTTATATAAATTGTACTAGAGGTATTATTACTGATGAAAACAAGCTTGCAATTGGCTTTGTGTAAGAGTTATTTTAAAATACAACACTGTAAGTACATTTGCTAGGCAGATTGCCATGCCAGTTTGAAAACTGATCCATTTTTGTTTTTGCCTTGTATTTATTCATGGATAAGGTTTCCATAAAGAATAAAATTTCGTGTCAGATTGTGATTCAATTTTTTCGTTGGCGTGGAAAATTTGAATCAGTTATTACTTCTTTTTCTGCTGTATTGTTACTGTTGGTGACACAAGTCGTGTATATTTCTCAGAGCGATGACATCTAATAGTGTGAGGAAGTAGCTGGAAAAAGAAAACTGTAGCATTGTTGAGAAACGTTTTGGGTGTCAAGATGTCAACAATTGCTGATGTTCAATAAAACAATTCAGTTCCACTATACAATATACTAATCTCTATTTGTCAGAGTAATAGAGTCCATCCTCCATGTGCGACCACCTATCCAGAACACCCCAATTTTTACCATTCAAAACCTTACAGTTGGAACCTCTCGTAAACGACCAATTCCTGTAAGCGATCGCGACCATTTTTGGGGGCTGATGGTTTATAATTTCCATTGTTTTTAACTTCTTGTAAGCGACCACATGACGCATTGTCTGATTTCTATATTCGTTGCGTGTACTATGCTACTTAGAATATAGGAGGAACTTTTAATGACAGCATGGAACTGCACATATCGTAATTTAGCAATCACACGCAATAAAATTATCTTCCAGAAAGTAGATGTGTCAGGACAACTTCTCAGAGGACTTTTCTCGTAAGCGACCACCTCCTGTAAGCGACCTCGCAAGTCTTGGCAATTTGAGTGGTCGCTTATGGGAGGTTCGACTGTGTGATTCCCGTGTGAGTACAAATATGATAGCATATTAGAAGTAATAGGCTGCTCTTCACCCAGGTAGCTTAAGCGAGAATTTTACCGATTATAAACGTGAAGAAAGAATATTAGTCGGAAATGGTTTTAGATCTAGCTGTCATATTAAAAGAAATACTATTTGGACCAATGAAACTGCAAAAAACGGCTAGCCGTTATTTTAACAAGCTTTTCTTTCTTTTGTTTCCCTTCTTTTTGGACGCTTTTAGTGTTGAAGCAGCAACTACCCTACCTTTATCATAAGTGTAAATTGTAAGCGATATGAGCAAACGTCATTATCATTAGTTCCTTTTATTTTACCCAAGAGGGAATGAGACAGGAAGGTCCAGAAGGGTCCCCCAAGGGTCTGGGAGGAACCGAGGCGGTGCATTCAACTCCCAGGGGCCGGGCACTCCCTAATGTGGACTAAACGGTTATGTGCCGTTGAACAGGGTATGGTTTTCAGGGTCTTGGGTCTTATGCAATTTTACCCTTGAGCATCTTGAACAGTTTTGACCGGACGCCTTTAAAATACTGTGGAGGTTATACATTTGTTGTAACAGGAAAAAGTTCCAGGATCATCCCAGTTTTTAAAAACATACTTAACTCCCGATATGCGAAACGAAATCATGGCCATAAAGTAAAGTCTCTTGTCTTAAACAGGGTAGCGAAAGGACTCATTGTCTTAAACGGTCTTAAGTAGGGTCAAGGTTTGAACGCCTTGGCGGTACACCTCTACCCAAACTGCCACTGATTCGTCCCCCCAGATTCAACCCTGCCTTGGTTTATTATCTCCATGTGAGTTCCCAGGCAAAAACGTTTAAAAAAGCCTTCCTTTGGCATTTCTGTCAAAAAAATGAGATAGATTTTGTTCTAACAGATGACGATACAGTGTAAACGTAATAAAACTTACATTAATTTTCGGCTACAAAGAGGAAAGATACTTTGCCTGATCAGAGAACCAAGACAAGCATATTGAACTCGTGAATAAGACGGCTTTAGAAATATGAAGAAAAACATGCTAAATACTTACCCATCCTTGACTTGTTCTGTTAAATTGATCTGTTTTATCTCCGTCATTATATATTGGACCGCTGAAGCCAAGGAATTCATCCTTCATGTCAAGAAGGGATGAATTTCTTGGTTTCAGCGGTAAGCACAGCTTTGAGTTCAATTAGCCCTGCAATGCTGAAGACCAAGTATCGTAGCAAAGTTCGGTGAAAACCTTCCACCAATTCATATAAGTGGTTTTCACACACACTTTTTATACACCCGAGGAATTACTATAGGGCCCATAGTTTTGTTACTCCTTTAATTTTTTGGTTGAACATTCGCCTCTCCCATTCTCTCCTTTTTTGGGGGGGAGGGGGAGGGGGATGGGCGAGGGGGAGAGTCGTTGTAGGAAGTTATCGGCATTTTTTGATTTTATTGCAAATTTAGATTTGAACAAATAGTGTTGACGTTAAATGTATGTTTCTAAAGTACTATATAATTGAACATTTTTTCTGCTTTAGAACTATTATTTACTAAAAAAGTAATCTTACAGTACTTGATTGAAAGAGCATTTCGTCGTTTCACGTATGACGTCATATCTTGCAACTATAGCAACCAGCCAACAAAATGTTTTGAACAGTTGGCAAAATCACCCAGAAAAATTATTCACTCTCCCTTATATCTTAGGTCTTCAATGTCAAAAAACAATACTCTGCAAACTGAACCGTTAGTTTATTCCTCAAAATCGCTTTTTAAGCTGCCTCCGTGAGATTTTTGTGCGAAGGGAGTGAGCCTCATGAAATTTTGCTAGTCTCACATTCTGTCCAGGATATGTTTTTTGGTCAGTGACGGCCTTGCCCAAAAAGTATACGGGTTGTCTAATTTAGAAAAAAAAACACTTATTTCTGAGTTAAAGACACTAATTTCAGTGTTTAACGTTCCTCTACAGGGCATTTACGAGAACAGGTTCTTCTGTACAAGGAGAATTATAACGAATAAGATTATTAAGCTTACCTTTTCATCAAGCACCACATTGACTGCTGTAGTCAGTTCCACTTCCTGGGTCGGCTACATCGCGGCGTATAAACTATAATAGCTTCTAATCCACAAAATAACCAAACCAGCGGGTAACCAAAAACCATCTTGCTGCTGTGTTTGCAGGAGTACCCAACGAACATTTTTCGCAAAATTGATTATACGATGTCGTAAACGCTAGCAAAGTGCTTTTACGTCAACCCATGTTAATATTTAACTTTCCTGGGAAAAAAATACCCGCTCTTCACTGCTAGCCAGCAAGACTTTCAGAAAATAAAAATCCCAGCCAGCAATCATGTTTGACGGTTTTTGCCAGCCAGCAAGGTTAAAAACAAAAATTACGCAATCCCAGCCAGAGTGAAACGGAATTCGGTGTTTGCCAGCCAGCGGTAGCAGAAGTAAGTTATGAGCCAGCCAGCAAAGTTTCATTTAACACATTGCCAAGAAAAACATGTAAGTCAATAGGCAAGATCTGTTTTACGTCAAATTTACATAATATAAAAAGAAAGGGTGTTTAACCTGTTTCACCCTTTTATCTAGTTGTCGGTTTTTTTTTTTTTTTTGAGATATAGGGAAAAAGATCAGTGTATTTGTTTAGTATATATTATTCCCTATCCCTAAAATTACATAACAATAACATAACAACTAAAGACATTCAGCGGTACTTACAGTTTTGGAATGTGGACTTGAGGAGTAGTCTTGAGTTTTTGCCAGGTAAACGATAAAAAGGAAGATCCCGAACTTTGTCCATAACACAATAACACGTAAAAAAAGTGATCATCGCAAAGCCTTAAGGCCAACTTTTTCCAACGATAATCGACTGAGGTGAAATAAAGTTCAAGAATAAACAACATAACGAGTAAGCTCGATCCACGTGTGGTCTCCTCTGCAAAAACACCCCAAATTCAGTGTAGACACATGCTTATCGCCAGCATTGTATGCCGTGCCTACTGTTACTCCGCAAAAAGTCTACTCCAGAACTAATAGAAAGTTTCGAGTAAACAGGCTTTCCGTTGGAAACTTCTAACCACTACGGCTGAAAACCACGAACCCACAAAGTAAGGTAACGTTTGCGGTCTTTAACTCGAGTTTCAACGTGGGGAGGATGGTTTCCTCTTTCGTCATTTACGTAAACGCCTGACTACAAACAAGGACCTTTCTGTTGCGGTAAAAAAAAACAATACTGTCCTTGTTTTCAAATACGCTATGGCAACAGTTTACTTTTTAAAGCCAGACTGATAACGTGTTCTTGTAGTATTTTTCTCCGCACTAGTAAGAGCTTGTCATCCTGAGTTTGATCTTACTCACTCATTTTTTCTGTGGTCAAGAAGCCATAATGGTATGTCGTCAGACAATCACCACAAAAGTTTCGCAGCAAAAGCCAGTAGTCGTATGTAGTCAGTCAGGCAATCACCGTAAAAGTTTCACACCAGAACTGGTGCAAAGTTTCGCAGCAAAAGCCAGTAGTCGTACGTGTTCAGTCAGGCAATCACCGTAAAAGTTTCACACCAGAACTGGTGCAAAGTTTCGCAGCAAAAGCCAGTAGTCGTACGTGGTCAGTCAGGCAATCACCGTAAAAGTTTCACACCAGAACTGGTGCAAAGTTTCGCAGCAAAAGCCAGTAGTCGTACGTGTTCAGTCAGGCAATCACCGTAAAGTTTCACACCAGAACTGGTGCAAAGTTTCGCAGCAAAAGCCAGTAGTCGTACGTGGTCAGTCAGGCAATCACCGTAAAAGTTTCACACCAGAACTGGTGCAAAGTTTCGCAGTAAAAGCCAGTAGTCGTAGGTGGTCAGTCAGGCAATCACCGTAAAAGTTTCACACCAGAACTGGTGCAAAGTTTCGCAGCAAAAGCCAGTAGTCGTACGTGGTCAGTCAGGCAATCACCGTAAAAGTTTCACACCAGAACTGGTGCAAAGTTTCGCAGCAAAAGCCAGTAGTCGTACGTGGTCAGTCAGGCAATCACCGTAAAAGTTTCACACCAGAACTGGTGCAAAGTTTCGCAGCAAAAGCCAGTAGTCGTACGTGGTCAGTCAGGCAATCACCGTAAAAGTTTCACACCAGAACTGGTGCAAAGTTTCGCAGCAAAAAAAGCAGTAGTCGTATGTGGTCAGTCAGGCAATCACCGTAAAAGTTTCACACCAGAACTGGTGCAAAGTTTCGCAGCAAAAAGCCAGTAGTCGTACGCGGTCAGTCAGGCAATCACCGTAAAAGTTTCACACCAGAACTGGTGCAAAGTTTCGCAGCAAAAGCCAGTAGTCGTACGTGGTCAGTCAGGCAATCACCGTAAAAGTTTCACACCAGAACTGGTGCAAAGTTTCGCAGCAAAAGCCAGTAGTCGTACGTGGTCAGTCAGGCAATCACCGTAAAAGTTTCACACCAGAACTGGTGCAAAGTTTCGCAGCAAAAGCCAGTAGTCGTACGTGGTCAGTCAGGCAATCACCGTAAAAGTTTCACACCAGAACTGGTGCAAAGTTTCGCAGCCAAAGCCAATAGTCGTATGTAAGTCAGGAATGTTTTGTTTTGCAGTCAGACAATCACCTATAAAGGCATATAACCTTATGTCGTGCATGCGATGGTCGTGTGACATCTATAAGTTATAGAATCGAAGCGCAGTTGAAACAAATGTAAGTAAGATCACACCAAGGAAGGCAAGCTTATTTTGCTTTGGGTACAGAGAGACCCACCAAAGTAAAATAAATGCAGCAATACCTTTATCAGTTTGCTTGAAGCGACCGTCATAGTAAATTTGCGAACAGCAACAGTACTTCAGTTTTAATACAGCTACAGAAAAATTCTTTTAGCTTTTGGCAATAAGATAAGCTTAGGCGAAACCTTCTTCGGTACGTTTAAAAATCGAGTTGACGACGGCAAACGTGACGTAACTGCGTCCTACTGCGTATCTCGCGCTTCGCGCTCGCGCCTCTAAACAACCCTAAGCACCTTAATGACGCCTTTTGCGCAGGCTACGGTTGAGTTGTGAGGGCGATTATTTTGTAGAAAGCAATAACTTCATGATAACCAGAAGAAAATAAAAACTCCAAAGAAAAATATCCTGTTCTTCACGACAAATGGTTGCAAAAAGAACAACCTAGTTGTCTATTAATTTGTTTATTCAATAGTCCAGCTTAAACCCTGCTTGCAGCAATTTTAGGAAAATAAGTAAATACTGTTCACATTTGATTTTCTTTCATTTTTTGGCAAGAAAATTGTAAACTATTTTTTATTCTTTTTTTCTACATTGGCCAAAGAGCCTCTCAAACGTAACCATGGCCGGTAACGCCCGCTGTCAAAATTGAGGTCCTACAGCCGGGAAACATCACCAAAAATATGTAATCTGAGTCACTGTGTTCGAAGATATGAATAAATTTGCTAACAGAGCTCTTACAATTTATACGATAAAAAGCTTTAAGAGCAAGAAATGCGTCAGCGTCAAAACAGATACTGGTATGAAAGTCAAAGAATGATAGCCGTTCGGGATTTACCCCGCTATACTACAATTTATTACACAGACGTTAGCATTGAAACGCAACGGCACACTTGGATGTTGCCTTTTTTAAAAACAACAGTTACTATAACGGACGCGAAATACATCAATATACGGGTAGTACAAATGTAAAATCTTCCTACCTTTTCTGATCCTAACAGATACCTGTGCAGTTGCTAAACGCCTTCCAAATGACCATAGATCGAGGAGGTTTCCCGTCCCGGTGAGCACATAACAAAAGAGAAATTGGTTCCAACGGAAATATTCCTGAGCGCGCAAACCTGGACAACATTGCAAACGAGCATACCGAATGAAATCAGTTTTGAGTTCACTCCGCTAAGAGGCCAGAGTGTATTATTTATTGGAGAGAGTTTTTGTATTCAATCGTCTCAATATTTGATGGCATTTATGTGCCTTAGCGAATGTTCTTAATGCGATACACATGCACGGCAACCTGACAAAGAAACACAACCATTTTGCTTACCTTTTGGCCGCGTTAACACCAGGTTTAAAGAAGAACGTAGGCCAGTAGCTGATATGTAGACAGGCATATTAAAACACGAACACACAAAAGTGTTTTCTATAAAGGATCGACAGCGAAACGACTACAAACAAAGCGGTGAGCGGTGCTTGACTCAACTGTGTCATTTTCTCACTACGTGTATCTTTTACAAGGTATTCACAGCAGGACGTTTTGCTTACACACCCAAACAAATTTCCGTTTTCACAGGCAAAAGGTGTCATTTCCACAGCTCGCGTGGGGTGATTTCCACGCGCACTTACTTGCTTCGCCCGCTCTAATATCCATATAAAAAATTACAGTGCGATTGCAAGGAGAAAAAATATACCTTTTTATCCAGCCAGAACCGGCATAAATTTTTCATATTTTCAGCTAGCAAGGCGCTCATTCAGATTTCCCAGCCAGCTAACTAGCCAATGTTTTTTTTTTCCAGCTAGCTCAAATTCTGCCTGACGAGCGGGTATTTTGTCGAGCGGCTCCGTCGGGTACTCCTGTGTTTGAGGTGTAAGAAACTTTTAAACTCCCTCTATCTACGTCATCAACCGTCATAATCACAATCGTCATTTACTGGAACGCAGAGCGCGTGATTCTTCTTCTTCGTCATCTCTAGCTCGAACAAAAACAAATAGCTGCATGGATAATAGAAAGTCTTTCTATTATGATAGCTGTTTGAGAGAATAGTCTATTCCAATTCCCATCCAATTATGTCAGTTTCAATTTGATACTCCAAGTACTTATAAAATTTTTCCACATACCTGCTAGCCTACGAACAGCAGACGTATTTCCGGTGGTCGCTTCTCTCCCTCCGAAAAATGGCGTACGCTATTTTTCGGAGGGAGAGAAGCGACCACCGGAAATGCGTCTGCTGTTCGCAGGCTACATACCTGCAGATTTTTATTATCCTGAATTAGGTTTCTGGGAAACTGCCGATCTACCTCTCCCCTAGGCTACGCAGTTTCTAGTTCCAGTTAAAGGTTCAGAATCGTCTGACCAGCTCTCACATAAATTTGTTTTTTTTTTTGGTTGTATCCTTAATGGTTGCCGTTTTCTCCAGCTTTTTTTTTTTTTTTTTTACTTCTGAGTTTTCCGCAAACAGTATGCGCTCCTGATACTTAACCCGAATGACTGATCATGAGGAACGTGTTTTTTCCTTCGAATTTCCTGCAAAATTCCTCAGCATTGACGTACAGGATGTCCATAAGTTGTTTATAGAAAACTTGAGTGCCATATTTGTGAAATTTCTTTTTTATCGTTGAAGAGCTCGTTGAACCGGTGTTTTCGCGGTTTCCGCTATAGGTTTTTTGAGTCCTTTTTGTTTTTGATCGATAAGAGCCTGGGGTCGAAATGGACTGATTTATTCAAAGATGGCGGATGAATTGAGAAATGTACGTGATTGTTGATCACTAAACTTCCGGAAAAAACTAAAAGTCTGAGCCCTTTTATTACAAAATTTGCCACGATATTTTATGTTAAGAACCAGGCGTTTTCTTGTCGCGTTAACAAAGTGCCGCGATCAAAAATCTAGCTCCCTCTTTTCATCTTCTTGGTACATCATTCGTAGGAGTGTTTCACGGGAAGATACAAACATGTCTGGAAAATCGTTACCGAAATGGATTCAGCCAGAAGGGACAGGAGAACTGAAGCTATATAACAGTCTTACCCGTGAAAAGGTTAGATTTTTCTTATTTCCTCTATGTTTTCCTTCTTTCGTTTTCTTGGTGTAGTGTGGTCTGATGCAATATTTGCTAGCTGGCTCAGTTCATGGCACGGATCAACCAATCACGCTTATATACGTTTCTACACCAACTCCAAGGTCTGTGTTGTCTTACAAAGGAAATACTATAACCCATAAATTATATCACTTTTTTTTTTTTACTTTTTTAAATGTAACTCTTTTTAAGGTCTATCAATAATTTACAAAACTACAGTTGGTGCCCCTACACATTTTTTTATTTTTTTTTACGAAACGTCACATGGTACAGGGCAAGCAATATGAAGTGGGACCTTAAAAACCTTCTTTAGCCTTTATTCATGAATAATTAGGGCTAGAAGACAAAGGAAATTGAGAATCTACGTAGGTTAAAAAAATTTAACCTGAATAAAATTTTGACCAGTACCATATGTCCCTTTAAGACCCAATATCAACATATAAATTCTCCATACTGATCTTCTTACATTTCTTTAAAGAATTAATTGAGAGAGTTTGATAACAGATAAAAGCATTTTCTCTTTAGTGATCATTTTATGAACTCTCATAACCATTTCTCTTGGCAACATGTGGATATTGTTAGCAGAAAGTTGATGTTGGTCACTATGGGACTTAAAGAGATAACAGACACATAAGGACAGTGAATTTGGCACAGAGCAAAGCTGCACTTCTTTAAAGTGGAGAGTGACATATCAGACAGGTCTTCATACTATACTGGATAGAGCTCTTTCATCTTGTAAAGTGTGAACATAGCCTTATAAGGGCAATTTTATTTTAATTTAACCAATCCTCACTGAATTATGTAGCTGGAAAATACCATATATCTTATTTGCACCTTAATTCTAGCTCAGAATATTTCTTCTTCCCACATGATGCTGAGGCACTTAAAAACTCAATGATATTTCTCATGTTTTGTGAACACTATCTACTCTCTCTCTGCTCAGCTAAGGCACTCATGGGGGTTTCCAGTAATGCCAACAGCCCAGGGGCCCCACTCACATATTTTAATGACAGGGGGTGGGGTCCGACAGAGGTTCATATTTTATACCCAAAAAAATCCCAACTTCAGAATTTGTCTACCCAAAAAAATCCCTACTTTTTTTAGCATACCCAAAAAAATCCCTCAGTGTTTTTGCATCAGCAAATTTTATTATTTATCTTCTGGAAAGCTAAAACATACCAACTTCAACTTTGGTTTTGGTCAAAAACAAAACTATAAATTGCGCTTATGTTATTTTTGATTTGAGCTGATGAAAAATACAATACCCAAAAAAATCGCTGTGTTGTTTTCGCGACCCAAAAAAATCCCGGCGTCTTTCATAGACCCAAAAAAATCCCTTCTGGCCAAAATGTCAGCCCCAAAAAAATCCTTTAGACCCCCCCATCATTAAAATATGTGAGTGGGGCCCCTGGGGCCAACAGTCTACCTCCACGTGCTTCCAAGCTTTGCGGTCCTTTGCCAAAGTACAAATTATAGAGGAAGGGGGGGAAAGCCTCCCCCATCCCTACCTAACCAATGTTGTGCTGCTTTCAAGCTAATTTCAGAAAACAACAAACAAGCCAACTTCTCCCTCCCCTCCCTATCCCTCCTTCCCCTTCTCCTCCCCTACCACTCTCTCTTTGCATCCCTTTCAGGGGCATAGCCAGCTTTTGTAGGCCTGGCTGACTTCATTTCCACATATCTTGAAAACTGCATGCATGACTAGTATAAGCACTGACCTCACCAACACTTTGAGCTCTTAAGCTTTTTAGCTTACCCCAACAATGCATGATTTATTACAAGCAGTAGAGTGATCAAACCAAAACAGCTACAGGTCTATGGGCTGGCTATGCCCCTGCCTTTACTCACTTTCCACTCTCATACACTCACTGTTTCTCCTATCTGAAGATGATTGATGTAAAGAACCTGCAGTACTGCCTATTTTTGTAAAATTAACAAGTTAATATTCAAATATATATTCTTACTGATGAGAGAAAGTTTTTTCTTTGTACATTAGAATGTCTTTGTACCTCAAAATGGCAGAAGGGTATTTTGGTACAGTTGTGGGCCCACAGTTTATGATGCATCTCACATGGGACATGCAAGGTAAAGTGGATTTATAAACAAGACACTGTCATGTACAAATATAATGGGCTGACTTTTTAGTAGCATTTTTTACTAGCCCAGTTTCAAATTCATTGGAACTGCTGAATAAAGGACTTATTTATACAGGGTTAGCTTCAGCCTAAGGTAAATGTGTTCACAAATTCCAGGCAGAAGACAACCTGTGTACAAATGAGTCTATTGTTTTGAACTCAAATTCAGGAACCTGCACACTGGTATTTGTCAATTTTACTTTAGGCTGAGGCTAACCCTGTATAAATTCTGAGTCTTCAGTGCTTCCATTCAACGAATTCAATACTGGACTATTGGAGAAATTCTTAGTACTCTCTTATTGGTTGAGACCTTTTTCTTTCAATACTTGAAAGTGAACAATTATTGTTCACTGTAGACAATGAAATGGTGCACTGTTGGCAATTTTATTGTTTGTTCTTCACTTGCTTCAGAAAATAGTTGCATTTTTTGAACATTTTTAATTTACCCTAGTGTAGTTCCAGCCTCAAGTTTTGAATATTTTCCGGCATTCTATCTGTTGTCTATAAGAATTGATGCAGCAAGATGGGAAATTATAGCTGATTTGTTAATCATTAATTATTTTAGTGAAAGTTATTGGTAATTAGCAGAGTGTGCAAGAGTGCATGTCTTTATTAGCTTTCAGCATTTTTGTTTTGAGATTTATACCACAACCTAATGGTTTTACTGTTTTTCCCCTTGTCATTACAGGTCATACATTACCTTTGATATTTTACGAAGAGTGCTTCAGTCATATTTTAACTATGATGTGTTTTATGTGATGAATATCACAGACATTGATGACAAGGTATGTAGCTTTCAGATTTTATTGTAATTTTTTGCAAGAAGGCCTTCAAATGTGATGATATCAATGCTGAACTCATGGGCCTGTGGTTAAGAATTTGAACTCAAGACTTCTTTGAAACAAAATTTCTGACCAGTGGTCGAGGGCGGGCCTTGAACTGGATGGCAACAAGTCCAGTGCTTGAACTGTTCAACCATACTGCTTTATCATAGAACATTTTGACTGTAAAATATCTGTTCTATTGGCCTTAGCTCGAGCACAAACCTTTCATTTTGAACAGCTATGAAAAAACAATGTTCCAGATGATGTTTCAAAATTTCACTTTAGATATAATGCCATGCGTAAGCACTTGTAAAAATTGAAATTTTCACACCTTTGGATTTCATTCACATAACATGACAGTCGGCTCTCTTAATGGCCACCTCTATAAGAAAGACACCTTGATAAAAGGAACACCGATAGCTGGTCTCCAGGGTTTTCATTAAGTGCTGGCAGCCGGCTAAAAAACCGGCTACGTGGAGGTTTGAGCTGTCTATTTTTAGTGGAAATCTAGGGTAAAGCGAGAGAGTGAAAGCCTGAAATTGCCTACAGCTCTTAGTTACCAAGCCACCTTCTTTTATATCATGGCTGTCTACTTTAAAAATTAATGAAAACCCTGGCTGGGTCCCTGCCTTAATTACTCCCTTAATTTGACTCTCTATATAAGACAGACATCTCTTCAAGACAGACATTTAGTGGCAGTCCCAAATGTGTCCGTGAATTGACTGTTCTTGACAGTTAGAACCACACCTGGAAGTGAATGTATGTGTTGACCAGGTCACTGGAAAATTTTTAACTTACATGCAGATTGATCCTAAATATCCTTTGTCTCCTATATCCCTAGTTATTATAGCCTGCATGTGTAGAGGTGCCCCCTCTCCCCGATTTTTTCTAAGGGTAGGGGGGTTTTTGTACACAGTCTAAAGTAAGTTATTCATAAATTAGGGCTTGGGGACAAAGGAAGTTGAGAATCAAACTTTACAGTGACTGTCATTAAAATTATTTTAGCCTGTTGTTAATTTTGACCTAAAACATATCTTTGATTTTAATTTATTCAAAGTCGAGTGAATTAGTGATTAATCTTAAATTTTTCAGATTATTTTCAGGGCCAGGAGAAATCATTTGTTAGAGAAATACATTGAGGAGAGCAACACTTCTGAGAAAATTATTGAAGATGTTAATACCGCTCTTGAGGTATAAAATATGCACAAAACAAATGAGTAATAAACCATCCTCTATTAAGCACCTCCGAAAATAATCCCCGTTTTTTAGGGGAACAAAGTTATTAAGCCGTCCCCCACTCTTTTAAGCCCCCTCCTCGCCTCCTTATTCTTAAATGATAAACTTTAGTATCAATGTTAATAACAATATTATTATTGTAACACTTCATGTTGGCTGATCTAGCTTGTACAGGTTTATTCATGTGCTGGAAGTTTAGACTATTTTATCTTTGGCTGTTTAACCTCCAACTTCATGTACCTGAGTTTTTCCCCTTTGTTTTCTGGTTCTTCAAGGGAAATTGATATCATTGTCTTTGCCGAAGTAAATTGAATTTTCCACATTCTGAAATTCTGTACATTCAGTCTGTAAAATGATGAGACAGCTAGCTGCAGTCTTAATCAGTCCAAAGAATAGCCTCCCCGCAGACGTCCTTTGGGGTTCGTTTGTCAGGCATTCATTTCTCCCCCAAGGACATCTGCTAAACACAGCCGACATTTATGTTCTGGATTATTTGAATAAGCCAATAAGCGGTTAGTTGTTGTGTCACGATCAGCCAATCACGCACTGTGATATAAGTGAAATTTCAGGACAAATTTACGACATACATAACATGTTAATCTGTTTTAAATGTATATTACCATTTCTTATTTCATGAACTCTACTGATTTTTTCTTTCAGCCGTACTCAAAAAAAATGAAGAACACGACAGATGAAGATAAGAAAAATATGTACCTTAGAATTATTGTAAGTCATGCATTTTATTGTTGATGCAATGGTGTTACCCTGCAAACCTATAAATTCAACTTCTTTAATACACAGAAAACTCATTACATATAATGTCCTATTCGGCTTGTTGGTAATATGTGTGGATATTTAATACAAGATGCAAGTTATTTTTCCAAATAATTAAGCAGTGAGTAAAATGTGCAAGTGTAATATCTACCAAAACATGGCGGAGAAATTATGTTTATTTTTATTTTTCCTTCAGGAAAAGGTGAAATCTTCAATTTCAAAGTTAAAAGATTTACATTTATCAAGTAACTCTGAGGCTGTAAAGGAAGCAACTGAGGTATGAAAAGTTGCTTACATAGTAATAATAATATTATTAGTACATTAATTACTCTGTTAACTTTTTAAACAATTTTAATAATGCATTCAATTTTAATTAACAGGAGTTATTAAAGGAGGCAAGTGATCCATTATCGGCATGGCTGGACTCCCAGGTAACAGAAGAAACTCACAATTTAGCTGTTGAAATTTCTGTCATGGTGAAAAAGTTACATGTGATCTTTACATCCTCTAACTGTGGTAAGCGACAGCAGGAAGAGGTGGCGGAGGGGAGGGGTTATTGGCTACCTGTGCATGGTCCCCTTTCTTCTTACTCCAGTTCAACTTAATCAGCTGAGTTGCCTTGACATACCCATTCATTAAAGGGGCAATGTCACAAGAATATTGCTTTTTAGACCAATTTTTGCTGAATTTAGCACAAAATTGGCAAAAAATTGTACCTTTACCTGTACACAAAATGTTTTTGTAGAGTTATGACAAAGATATCAAACAAGTAATTAAGGAGCACACACCATAATAATTTTCTGATGAATTTTGCAGGCATTTAGTATTAAAATCTGAAAAATTTGATTTATTGTTTCAAATTTTCATGTCAATAATAGTCTAAAACAGCAAAACTGTACCATTATTTTTGAAATTCAAATTGAAGCAAAAAACCTTGTAGCTTGACAAAAATAGCTCCTTTGTCTCAGATCTAGGGTACATTAATTTTTGTATCTGAAGTGCAGCCACAGGCCTACTCAAAATCCTGAATCCACCCTCCATCCCCTCCCATTGCTTGATTATCTTTCTATAAAAGAAAGAGGCTCAACAATATGAAAACTTTCCTTTCTTTAGTATAAGAGCTTTCATAAACTCCAGTCACTGAATAAAATCCAAAGTTAATGGCAATTTTTATACAACATGTTAGAAATTAAGGGAAAGTTCATTTAATATGACAAGGGGGGGGGATGAAGATATTGAGGGGGGGCTCCGAAAATTTTTAGACACCCGAAGGGGGGGCTCTGAAAAAATTGTTGCGCTTAGGAGGGGGGGTCCGAAAATTTGTATACTTCAAAACCAACACATGACATCATCATACAGATCAGATGGTTTTCAACTCAACAATTTAATGACCTGTGCAACTCAGCTATATCACATGGTTTACGGATGTAACAAATGTAGTCTCAGTAATTATTACACTCTTGTTCATCCCAAAAATGCTTTAGAAAATTGTATCACAACTGTATCTCAAGTTTGTCATAGTATAAACCATTGAAGACAATAACGGTAAATATATTTAATACAGTCTAGCGATCCTTTTTCAGGGGAGCAAAGGAATTGAAGGAGGAGAGGGGGGAGGGGGCTCTGAAATTTTTTCGACTACCAAGGAGGGGGCTCCTAAAAATTTGAACCGCTAGCGAGGGGGGCTGCTAAAATTTCAAGCTTCGAGTTTCAATATCTTCATCCCCCCCCTTGTCATATTAAATGAACTTTCCCTAATTAACAATAATTTTATGAATGAATGAGGCTGAGTATCTTATGAAGAATTATGGAGATCGAGGCCGTAGGCCGAGGCGGATAACACCCTCTGAGATCCCCATAATTCTTCATATGATACGAAAGCCGAATTCAATATTATTGTTTTATTATTCAGTCAAAATAATTCCTAGTTTAAAAACATGGCTAAAACATGCTTACCTTCATCGATCCATCGATGTTAAGTTCATCTTCGATAGTGCACGTTTAGGTTTGTCCAGCTCCGCAAATATTCTCCAAATAGCAGATGTCGCCCTTCGAGTTGTCTTCTTGCTGTTCTTGCCATGTTTTTAGTTATTTTTTCGGCTAGTTCTTACTCTTGAAACGAGTGAAATGTCCGCCATTTTTCAAGTTCACAACCAAAACAACTCAACCTCGTCCCCAGGTCTTCTCGGTTAAGAGTGCCTTAACCTGCACGAACGCTGCATTTTTGACGTCATTTCCTCGTTAAACACAAAATTCTTCCAAATTTGGTCATCAGAAACTGGTTATATGGTGAATAATGCATGTACTTTTAGCCAATCAGAATCGGGGAAATATTTTGAATGAATAATAATATAACTTAAATGGCATGTAGTATATAAGAGCTTGTGATTTCTTTTTGTTTCAGTTTGGCTCAAATGTGACAGACCATAAAATATTTGCAAAACTGACCCAGCACTGGGAGAAAGAATTCCATGAAGATATGAAGGCACTTAATGTAGGTGCATGGTAATCTACCTTGCCTTATTCATTATCATTGTTACCTTATAAAAAAGGCAATCTCGCATAGCATACCCTTAATGACTCCCCTGTATCAGTATGGGCTCTAGCTGACAGTCCTTTGACCTTTGAGTTTAACCATGCATTTTTCTCCAGATTCTTCCTGTAGATTGTTTAACACGAATCACACAGTATGTCCCTGAAGTTGTCACTTTCATCCAGAGAGTGATTGACAATGGTTATGCGTAAGTATTGTTGTAATTTCTGCTATCATTATGAAGCTAACCCATGGTCAGGTGCATATAGTTAACCCACTAACCTTGTGTTACAAGACAGGGTTCTAGCAGTAGTATTAGGTTGTTTTTTATGTAGCTGAGGCTTAATTTTTTTATGCTTCTTCTTTGTCCTAAGATGGTATTCCCCTCTCTTCTTGTCCCAAGGGTTTTTTATTGTTGTAAAAAAAGTCAGTGTAATTAAGCCCTGTGCTGTGGCTAGATCTATCAGCCAGTTAACGTGCCTTGTTTTTTATTGAAGATATCGAGGTACATGCCATTGGAAAAAAGCCATAAGTGACAATAAACAATAATTATTGATAATAGATTGCCCAGTAATGTAAATTCTCTATTTAATAAGGAGGTTTTTTATTGAGGGGCCGGGGGAAGCATGCTTAACTTAAGGGGGGCTTATTTGAGAGGTGAGCTTATTTAATATAGCAAAATGGAGTGCTATGCCCACTTTTTAAAACAACCAGAAGTGGAAAACACAAAGTGGAAAAGCTCAAGCACATGAAGTGGTAGACTATACAGCCAAAGGAACTTTCATCTTGTGAATCAACAATGCAGGATCAGAAAGTCCACATGAAGTGTTACAGTCGTGATTCATTGTTACAAAAAATATATCATATTTGGTTTTGATGAATTAGGGGGGAGGGGAGGGGGCTTAATTGAGAGAGTGGGCTTAAGAGAGGATTTACTGTATTTGCTTTTAAAACAAAAGAAGAGTTTGACATTTGGTCAAGAGTCTCTCTGAGTCTTATTCCATGTACCCAGTCAGTTGTTATTGTCTAACGTTGTTTCTGCTCATGCAAATTCTTGCCTCAGCTACGACTGTAATGGATCTGTATATTTTGACACCATCAAGTTTGCGTCTAGTGGTAAACACGCTTATGCCAGATTAGTCCCTGAAGCAGTGGGTGACCTGGATGCTCTTGCAGAGGGAGAGGGTAATGCCAAATAGTTGTTTATTCTATCTACTGTATTAGAAGTGTACTGTTTCTAGTTGTAGTTTCCAAGAACGTAAAAATGATTTAGTTTTCACCATTTTTTATCTATGAAATTGAAATTTGTGTCCCCTGAATGAAGGCTGGGCACGGGTTTGTTAATAATTAACCAACCAATAAAATATTTTATTAGAGCCAAAAAAGGCATCTGCTCTTGCAGGTGACAGAATCTGCTCCAGTCATTATTTAAAGCAGCTAGATATATAAAAAAACATGATTAACTTATCCCTGTGATGTTGTGTGTTGAATTCCCACAAGTGCAATACATCGATTCAAGTGAGTTAATTCATGTTTTGAAAGCTGTTGCCCATGATATCAAATGAGCACTTAAACGTACCGGTCAGTCATCAGTCTTAAACTTGTGGTCAGTCACTTTTTGATTGCTAAGGTGTTCCCTGAATGCAGGTTAAACTTGGGTTTTGGGACCCAGAAAAAGTGTCTCTTTCCCCTGAATAGAGGTGTCCCTTCAATAGAGGTAACAGATACAAAGATGTGAACATTTTTCTGTGACCAAATTTTGTGTCTCCTGAAGGGAGATGTCCATTGAATAGAGCTGTCCCAAAGGAGAGTTCCCATCAGGTATCTCCATCTTTAGTAAAGATAGAGATAGCTGACTTTGTTTATAATTTGACAGTGTTTTATGCAGGATGTTTTTCACGTGAACCATAGTTAATGGTCTTAGCTTTTAAGATCCTTCCTGTTGCTTAGTGGCAGAACATCTGAACCGGTAACCAGAAGGTCATAGGCTCAACTCCCTGTTGGAAGAATTTTGATTTTTTAACGAGTCATCTGTCTCTCCTGGCTGATGAAACGTCATTCTCAAACTGAAAAGGTGTTTACAATGAGGATAATCCCAGCCTGGATTCAAAAGTTAATTCTTGTTTTAATTCATTTTCCCACTAGGAGAACTTAGTCAAAACCCAGGGGATAAAAAATCTGATCGTGACTTTGCTTTGTGGAAAGCCAGCAAACCAGGAGAACCAGCCTGGGATTCACCTTGGGGAAAGGTACTCCGCTCAGTTAGCTTATATAGTTCAATTAAATAAAGCGGCTTTGATGGGAAAGTGTTGAATTTCAAAATTTATTTGTTTCTGATCACCATTTTGATATTATAATATTATCCTAGCCTGGGTCGCAGATGTAATCTGTAACTCCGGTTATTTAGCCCACGGAACAGGCGCTATTTTTTTTCGTGTTTTTCAGAGGAATGAAGCACGAAGCGCACGTTAAGCGCGAGACACGCGCGACAGGGTAAGGAACACTTCGTGTCTTGCCTTCGCTCGCTTGAAAGACAAGAGAAACAACGCTTGTTCTGCATGCTACGCTTGTTCTTAATACCTCTAGATCGAGCCTAAGAAACACACGGAAATTTACGCCCGTTTTCAAGACGAACAAATTCCGTAATAGTTTTATTACGTCCAACGCCCGCAAAGCTTAAACTGTGTTCCAGATCTATAGTTTTAGAAGTTTCGATTGCTTTTGATGTCGACTTCTACTTTTTATTTTTTTATTTTTAACAATCATAATTTTACTGTAGTGTATTCGTGTATTGTTTCTATTATTCGTTTCTTTCATTTGTATTCATAAATTAGTTTATTAGTGGTAGTATTTTTAAGTAGTCATAATTATTTGTAAATAATCGCCTAATTCAACCTCCCGGTCGCGATGTGATTATGAATGAACTATCTATCTATCTACGGTCACCAACCAGAAGTTTAGTTTAGAAGTTTAGTTTGACGAAGGCTATCCAGTTCCTTTTTAAGGCTGACTACAAGAACAGCTTACCATTGATATCTTCTCAGTCACCTTGAGGCAGTCTGCAATTTAACTCAGCTCTCCTCCATGCATACTCTCTGCAGTATACCTGCATGCTTTGAAGGCTATTATTCGGCGGCACGATCTTTTAGCTTTCACTTATTGAACTTGCTCAGCTTGTTTAAAAGACTAGCTTTTTGTCATTTTGTATCCAACATATCCAACTAATTTGTTAGGGACAACCACGTTATAAGTCGGCCCCAGAAGCTAAAACGTCGGAATATAGTAGATTGCCCTACCCTACCCCAGTTACCGGGTGTTTTCAAGTTGCTGTGTCTACATTTTGAATAGCAATAAATATTGTCAAATTAAGAAAAAGTCTTGGAAGAAGAAAAGAAGCTATTGTAGTAGTTGACCTTGCATCTTTGACCGCTGTACTGCAGGGCCGGCCAGGATGGCACGTAGAATGCTCAGTTATGGCGAGGTTTGTACATCCTCTGTTTGTCATTCGTTCATTCTCTTTCCTTGTTTATTTTTGGAAAAAACAGCTTCATAACTTAAAGCAGTGGTCTTGATGCGCATACTCAAAGATCACCTACTTAGTGTAGGAATATAACTTATAAGCCCGTTGGACGATATTCGTTGGCCTAAAATTGCTGTAGTTTCTATTTGTGTGTGCTCCCGTGACGCTTGTTTTGCAAGGAAACAGTTCTTTCAGTCTGGATGTTTTTCACACGTGTTTTCCTGGTAAAGTGAGGTCCATATCAACAAGTATTCTCTTTAGAGGTTGGTGGGCGTGTTTGGAGGGTTTGCGGTCATCTCGCCACCAAGGTAATCCCCCCCAAGAAGTCTACTCGTCACCACATTATAACTCTGAAATAATTGACACTGTTTACTTACCTGGGATTGGTACTTCTTGCTCAAATATAAGTTTATCGATGTTAATTGACACCTTGCGTCGGACCTCTCATCTTAAGTTTTATTTTTTAATTTTTTTTAAATACCTTAATACGGCTTATTTGCATCGCTCGAGAGGTGCAATCCAACAGCCTTACTTATGAAAGTTGGTTAAAATTGTTACTTGAACCTTACCTCCTTAAATTTCATTGTAAATTTAAAGTGAAAGAATTCTTTTTAGAGACTTGTCCTTTCAGTAAGTATTAAGATCTATATTTATTGGTGGCGAGGTGGCCGGATACCTGCAGGGGTAGGAAAAGACCCAATCTTTTTTAGCAAAGGTCGTCCCCTTTTAGTCAGAGACCTTCTGTTTGCTTCTGATATAATTACTTAATTTTTTTTGTTAAATTTTTGTTGTAGCGCAATATTAGGTAACTCAATTGACATTCATACCGGAGGAGTGGATTTGAAATTTCCACATCATGACAATGAACTTGCACAATCTGAGGTTAGTCTAAAAACTACATGCATCACACTGTATAAGCTACAGAACGTTGTAAACACCTCATGCTGTAGGTCTCAAGGAATTGATCCGCAAATTTACGTTGCACAGCATAGCAAAATAGTACACTATGGGAAGATTTTTTTCGTGCATGACTCCATATTTAGGTGAATGGTTGTTAGCAGCACACTGGACATCAAATCTGAAGGTCGGTGGTTTCAGATGTTGCATAAGAAACACTTGTGAAGGCAAAACCACAACGACAAACCAGTGAGGGTCCACCGGATCTTTAGTAGACCTGGATCAGTAAAATCTTGAGTACCAAATTTTAAAATTAGAACAGTAAACTGATCCTTACGGCAGGAAGAGTGATAGGAAAAATAAAGAAAGATAATAAAAACAATATGGTGAGTTATACATATTTGCCCGATATTTCGGTGTGCAACACAAACCTTCAACGGGGGCTATGAAAGCAAAATGAATATAGATAGAAGATGAACGTTACATATGAGAGATTCGAATACATAGCAAACAGAAAAATGATAGACCTTTGCCTTTATCTCCAAGCTGTCTCTCTTAACGAAGGCCTCCGCCATACATTTCCTTTAACCACATAGATGAAAGAGTTGACCCAGGTATAATAGGTTTGTTGTTTCCTTGTGATGAATAGCTAATATCCCTAGCATTCACCAATACTCCAAGTTGCTAAATGTGCCACAGAGAACTTGTTAAGCTTGGGCTGCATGGGATTTCTGTGCCTCACGCCAATGATTAAAGTTTAAAATTCTAGTGAAATTAAGAACTGATTCTAAACGCAAAATAACTTTTGGCAGGCCCATTACGGTGTGTGCCAGTGGATTCATTACTTCCTACATGCTGGACATCTGACCATAGAAGGATGCAAAATGTCCAAATCTCTGAAAAACTTCATCACAATCAAGGTATGCCAAATGTCTGTCAGACTACCCTGCGAGCAGAGGTTTCTTTCTCGCGTGGCTTTTAGCGTTTACGAAGTCGTTCGCGTGGCTTGTCTGTCGCGTTGTTAGTTTTTTAACCACGCGACAGACAAGCCACGCGAACGACTTCGTAAACGCTAAAAGCCATGCAAGAGAGAAACCTCTGCTCGCAGGGTCGTTCAGGCAACAGAGAATTCTCTTTTGGTTCAGTGTATAAATGGTAAGTTGTTTATTGATCGCTATTGGCCCTAAGGTTGAAAAAAAGAAAGAAAAGAAAAAAAACTCAGGCGACAAATTTAAAATAAAGTATACGAGCAAGTATAGTATATTGTCTAAGCAACCTAGGCGGACCGCAGCTCCAGGTCAAAATTAAAATCGCAAACACTGTAAAATATTGTTATTTTTTCCAGGACGCTTTGAAGAGGAATTCAGCTCGGCAAATTAGATTTGCTTTTCTGCTTCATGCGTGGAATGCTACGTTGGATTACAGCGAAAATGTGCTACGAGAAGCGGAACAAACGGACAAGCTGTTTAACGTAAGGTTAAATTTTTGCCATTACTCCTTGGGAACGGCTCAATAAATTCCTTCCAACCAATGTTACAAGCTCCTTGGCAGCAGAGGAGTTGTGTTTCATCTTGATCCTAGTTTAACTCGCGGTTCGACTTAACAAACAAACGTCACCGATGATAGAGTCATGAAGTCTTGGTTCAAGTCTCGACAGATAATCGTCGAGTCTGGGTAGGAACGATTGTGGCCCGAAAAGTGATGTCGGAAAGCGGAGATTTGCGGATGAGGCACGAAGTAAGCAAACGAAGATTACAAAGAGCTCACGATATCTCCTTTTTCGCTGTCATTGTTCTCTTTTTCGTTCCCAGAGCTGTGTTCCTTTTGGTCAGCAGCATGGATCGAGAGCCATGGCTGAAGCCGAAGCTGCGGAAGTCCGCACAAATCACGGACTTCCGTCTGTCTATACAGCCTCAGAAATTTGAAACAATAACGGTTATCAGAGGTTACAAAAATGGGAAACTAGTGCGCTTGTGTGCTGTTCTGGTCCCATTTAGAGCTCTCAATCCGTCGCGCTGGCCAAAAGGGTGGCAGCTCGGGAGAGGAAAATGTCATTGCTTTCAAATCAAAAGGGACAATCGTTGCAAGAAATCGCTTGCATTACAAACGCATCCGTTTCTAGTGATTCCATTCCATAATCAGATTGGTTGGTACAGCTGCACCGCTAATTTAACTGGAATTAAACTGGAATCAAGGTTAAACATGACCCCATTGCTCCGTAGTGGTAAGATCTGGGCCTGGAAAGTGCTCAATCAGTTGTCAAATTTCATTTTCAATAATAGTTATGCAAGTGAAGAAAACATTCATTAAAAAGTAAAGCATGAACAAAAGTGCCGTGTTTGAAATGGAGCTCTGGCTTTCCAAACGTTTCGGACCTGGCCCTTCATCAGTTACCCTTCGAGCAGAAGCTTTTCGATCTTATCCGGAAGATCGAGGGGCCTCAGAACCGGTGCAACGCCATGAATTAAAAATTTAAACGTTGTAACAACACAGCTAATAGCTGTGCAGCTGAATTAAACCTGGTTTGTGCGCCGTTACGTTCATTCATACATTCGTTTGTTCGTGCTTTTCCTTCGCGCATGCATTATATTTTTTGGCTGCTTTATGTCCATTCATTCACACTTTCTTTCGTCCGTCTTGTGCGTCGTTTCTTTTATTTCCAGATATCGTATTTCTATTTTTGTGTGTTACTTTTATTCACTGTTTTTGTCATCTGGACTCTTTTATCTTTCTACGTGATTTAACACTTGGACGAAAATTTTATCAGTCTTGCTTCTCCTTTGTTTTAGGATTTTTTCTTAAATGTGAAAGATATTCTTCGAAAACCCGAGGACATGTCGCCATCAGCTCACAACTATCATGATTTGGAACAAGATCTTCAAGAAAAGTGAGATTCAATCTCTTACTCTTTTTCAGATCAGTATAAGATTCTAAGAAACTGCCTACCTACCCCTCCCCTAACTCAAAGTTCACCGCCACTTACTTCTCCCGTAAGGCAAAACGTTTGACTGGGGGGTGGGGTAGGTGGGCAGTTTACCAGAATTTCATACCAATCCCTAATATCTTTCTCCACATGAACGGTGTTCATTTATCTGACGAATTCGAAATTTTATTTTTAGATTCCTTGCGAAGAAAGCAGCGGTCCACGAAGCTTTGTGCGGTACGTTATGTAGGGTCGTGATTCAAAGGGTCTAAATTAAAAAATAAAGCTAAACTAATGTTATCGATTACAGGGTGGACAGTTCAAAGAACTGAGTAAACTTTGGCCTTTTAAGTGTCCCCAACTAAATAGAAACACTTGTCCAATCAACTTGGAAAATTAGAATGTTGGTTTTTCTTAGGAGTGGGGAAAACCGGATTACCCGGAGAAAAACCCTGGGGGCAGAGTAGAAAACTATACAACTAACTCAATCCTCATATTGCGTCAACACCGGGATTTTGAACCCGCCGGGCTACATGTGTTGGGGGCAAATGCTCTCACCTCTGCGTCATCCCTATTGCCCTAGGGAGTGATGGACCGGGAACATCCGTGTTTTCTAAACACACAGATCTGTTTTGTCTCCTTTGTTGACTCCAAGGGCTCATGATCCTGGAGCATTCATCATGCACAGCGCGCTGGCCTTTCACTATCCATTTTTAGAGTTCTTTGCCCGCCAAATTCGCTCTGCTGAGTCAAATTGCACTGGAAAACAAAGACATTGAGTAATTTTGAATGTGAAGTACAGTAGAAAGGGGTCTTGAGTAATAAATAAACCTGTTAGCTTTTCCTTAGCTATATCGCTGTAACCGGTTTTTATGGGCACATTCTAGTGTTATTTGTACCGTCCTGGATGCTGTTTATTGACAATTAGCATATGCCTTCACTTGAGCATGACAGTGATGAAAGATATGTTTGCATCGTCAGATTCGATTGATACACCTTCGGCTTTGCGGCTCATGCAAGATCTGGTGAAACAAGCGAACATCTACATCAGCACCAAAAAAGACAAAAAGGAATCGCCAAACCATCAACTAATCGAGGGAATTGCCAAGTATCTTACCCGCATGCTTAAGGTTCGTCTGTAAATCACTACACTATATAGCGAAAACGGCAAGAACCCTTACCAAAAGTTTAAAAATTTTGCTGCAGAAACATTCTTAGTCTGTGTGACAGGCACCTGTTGGTTTATTGGTTAATTTTTATGGAACGCGCGCATGTCCTCGAAATTTCTCCTTTTGCCCGAAATAAAACCGGCGCGTGCAACGCAAGCTAGAAAATTTTAAATGACGGCTGTTAGCAGACGATGTGCTGTGCTTCACGAAGAAGAAAGAATTATGAGGCCGACAGCTCTGCAGGGTGAAATAGCAACGAAAAAGTAGAGTCGTACCACCATGTCCGACCACATCTCGTAAACCACTACCTCCCAAAAGTGACCGAGATCACTTTTCGATCTGATGGTTTCATAGTTTTCCATTGTTTTTAACCACTTGTAAGCCAGCCTCGTTTCTAGTGAGTTCTCTCCTACGCCGTCGCTACGGAGCGAGACGGGTAGGTCTCAGAGAACCTGGGAACAAGGTTACTTGTAAGCGGCCACTTGACCATTACATGGTGTGGTCAATTATTGTGGTCTCTTTTGTTTGAGTATGTACTAAGCAACCAGCGTATACGACGAAATTTTTAGTGACAACATGGAACTGCCCGTATACGTAACTTAGAAATTGCACACAATGTATTCTCAGCTAAAAAGGAGAAATGTCGGGACCTCTTGTCGGAAGAGATTTCCTGTGTTTCGATTCTCATAAGCAACCACCTCCCTAAGCGACCGCAAAGTCTTCGCGTTTTGGGTGGTCCCTTACTAGAGGTTCAACTGTTGTACCCTTCAAAGGTATTGCGGGAGAGTACAAGTATCTTTTGACAACCTTACTGTGTCTTAATAAAAAATCTTTTTATTTCGTGTTTCTTTCATAACTACAGGTGTTCGGAGCTATTGACGAAGATCAAACTTTAGGATTTCCTGTAGCGGGCAAAAATGCTGCAGCTAATGTAAGATACGAGTTAAAGTTTATTTTTCAGTTAATAAAAAAACAAAAACATTGTGCAATTTTTTAAAGGGGCTATGCACGCTATTTGCTACCTTTTAAAAAAGCTAAAACTGAGTTGTCTTGTCTGAGTTGTTTTAATTTCAAAGATAATGATCCAGTTTTATTATTTAAGACTATATTTCGGCAATGAAACCGTCTTTCCTAGGCCTGTCATGGTAAGGATCGACAAGGGTTGGGCCAACTTTTTCAAGTTTTAATGCTCTGTGCCTGTAAAAATCACCAAAGAAATTACTATGGTTAGTGCTCCCTGATTATTATAGTTAGTCCTTCCCTCTAACGGAGCATTTTGTGGACGGGTATAAAGGCACCAACTAATGACTTTACCACCGAGTTGACCTAAAACAGAAATATTATTGTGAGAGCTGTTGCGATTGAATTTTATCCTTGGTTTGGAAGTTATTATTTTCAAAGATTTAAACCAAGGATAAAATTGAACCACAACATAACTCCTTTAAAGACGTTTCTCCTTTAAAAAACAAACACCAGCGTCTCGGGTTTTTTTCTCCGCTTTTTTCCAGTTCGAGGAAGTAGCGATGCCTTACGTTCAATTACTTGCTGATTTTAGAGACGAAGTTCGGAACGTTGCTCGAGAAGAGAAAGGTAATCAGTGCTAAACGTTTTGTCCCTTTGTTTGTCCACTTACTGCCACACTCAGAACTTTGTAAAAAGACACTGCTACTTTTCATTTCCAGTGACAAGAATTCTTGACGCTTGCGACGAGTTAAGGGATGTCAGTTTACCTGAGCTAGGAGTAAAGCTTGAAGACGTTGAAGGTAAACATCAATGGTTTCTTTCCTCTTTTTCCGTTTGTGCACACATCATTTCCCTCTTCGCTTTCCTTCCGCTACCGAGAGGTCCTGGTATTGAAAATGTTACCCCTTCTCAAAATCAACTATTCACTGAACTTTTTTGAGATGAGGTCTTAACATCCATCTAAACAATCCGGCTATTTTAAACAAAATTGGCCGCGGTATATTTCTGTAGCGTACCTATTGAAAGCTTATTTTCAGTTAGTGTGTAAAAAGACGATTTTGTTCTCAAGTATAGAGTGATTTTACGTGACTGGTACAGAAAATTTCGGTCGTTTTGGTAAAAACGGGAATAAGATAATACCTCGAAAGGTATTACTTTTTTCCGGAAAATTTCCACCGGGATGAATCGTTCCATTTGAATTCTCCACGGTAGCTACAAGTTACAAAAGGGAGTCAGTGGAATTAGTGCATAATAGTTACAGCCTTTAGAATGATTTTACTTCACGGGTTAAGTAAAACCACTGTGAAGGTTGTAATGACTTGTATTTTGTCTGTTGTACCTGTCACTCTGCTAGGAGGCCACGCTCCTGTCATAAAGTTCGTTGACAAAGAAACATTGTTGAAAGAAAAACAACAGCAGCTAGAGGTAAGCCAAATTGGTTTGCATAAAGCAGTACTTTCTACTTGTTTTGTAATTAATAAAAGCTGTTTTCAACTCAGTTTGTAATGTAATCACGTGAATGCTTAGGTTTTTACGCTCTTTGACTGGCTAAAAATCTCGTATGATTTTTTCAACCAACCAGAAGCAAAGTCAAATCAAATGGTTTCTTGCTGGTACGCGTTTTCCCGCCCTTAGCTCTGGGCTACGTCATACGTTTCGAGATCTAATTGGTTCATTTGATTTCGAGCGCGCGTTGTAATTTGTAAGGGAAATTACTATAGTTTTAGGGCCATGTATACGAGTAAAATAAGATGCGTTTCACATAAGGCGTAAGGCGTGAACTTCTCGTATGAATAGCACATTTCGTCTGAAATAAGACGCACTGTATCTAAGTTCAGAAAAAGAAAAAGAAAATTTTTGTCTTGTGTCGACGTCCTCCATACAACGTGAAATTAGGCAGTTTCACGTCGTAGTAGTGACGGCAAAGAAATGTACAAAAAAGCATGATCACGTGCAGAGTTGTGTTGCCAATCTAAGCCTATTGCTTTTTGTGCCGTTCTCCTTACCGCCGCCGCCGCCGTCGTCGTCGTCGTTGCTTAAAGTTCGTGCGAGAAATAAGACGCGAACCATTTATACGAGCTGTTCACGTCATGATATCAATCGTACACTTTCCGGTTAAGACGTGTCCGATGTAAGACACTTCTTATTTTTCTTCGTGTAAATGGCCTTATTGTTCTAACTTGTTTTTAGGAGCAAGAAAAGAAAAGAAAACAAAAAGAAGAAGCTAAGAAGAAGCTTGAAGCCGAAAAGGTAGAGATCTTTGACGTGTGCTTGTGGTAACTAAGCCAGGCTGAAGAACTTCTTGTCATAGTGAACAAGACGGTCCAGCCTCCCGCAATCGACTACCCATGATGTCAAGATTCTGTTGTCGATTTCGAGAGTCGAACCGAGAGCCTCCAAGTCTGCCAATCTAATAATGACTCGGTTACTCGGAGTAGCAGATTAGTTACAAAGATCCAACGTTCACCAATAGAACGCTTACTGTAGGCAGAGATCTTTGGAGCATGTCAAACCGTTGCCCCTAAAGGTGATCGCGGTCGCCTACGCCACGCTTCTTACTAAAGCGCTTCAGCAACTGGGGAGTGTTTACTATTTTGGATAAGTAATGTCTAACGAGAGCTGGTGGCACGTGAAGGTTTGAATCTATTTTTTCATCAGTTTACTTCCTAAAACTGAACTTGCGCGTTTCACTTCTTCACCGAAATGCACCAGACTCAGTCATCCCTGGTGTCGATCCTGCAGCTTTACTTCTGCCTCAAGGCTTCCGAAGGTTACCATTCGATTTAGAGTTACTTCTTGGCGATAATGTTTCAAACGTCACTTTTCTTTCTTTTTCAGGAGGCAAAAGCGGCTAAAGCTAAGATTCCACCGTGGGAAATGTTTAAACATGAAACAGACAAGTATTCAAAATTTGATGAACAGGTCAGTATGTTTGCAATACATGACGCACCTCCCCGGCAAATATGATAAATTGAATTATTCAAACAATTTATTTTCTTGGTTAGCAATTTAAGTTATCTTATGTTGCTTTGTAATGAGTTCCCTTTCAGCTGATTACAACGACGGCGACGGCTACAAAAACGTCATTTAAAAAGTCCATTCACGCTGCTTCAAAGTTCATCGCGTTTATTCCATCTCGTTCAGTTCGGCAAATAACGGCGAATTTTTCTGGAGTTCAATTCTAAAGGAGTGGATCGAAGTTCCGAAAAAGAAAGAGAAAATTGTCGTCGTGTGTTCACGTCCTCGACAAAACATGAAAATAGGAAGTTTCACGTCGTAGTCGGGCAACGACGGCAAAGAAATGTACAAAAAAGCGTGCTACACGGGCAAAGTTGTTGTTTTGCCAATCTAAACCAAGATTATGGGCGCGATCCATTCAACCAAAATTCCAACCAGTCCGACCGGGAAAAGTGGTCCACCTCAAAAGGTGGACCCGCCTTTTCGAAACTTTTCCGGTTGGACCGAACCGATCCATTGAGTTTTGGACCGAAATTTTCGGAAATTTTGGCTGAATGGATCGCGCCCTATGGCTCTTGTCTCAACCTACTGCTTTTTTTGCCGTTCATCGTTGCCGTCGCCGTCCTCGTTGCTTAAGCTCCCTACTGAAGACAATGCGGATACAAAATTTTGGGGGCAATGTGAAAAAGGGGAATTTCGAAAAATTCCACTGTAGTAAAAAGTCAATTTTGTCATTATTTGTATCAGGGTGTTCCAACTCATGACCAAGCAGGCGAACCACTGAGTGGCAAACAGGTCAAGAAACTGAAAAAGTTGTATCAGCAACAAGAAAAACTTTATAATTCTTCATCAGCTTCTGTGGCCAGTCAAGCAACCAATGGTTCAGAAGAGCAGTAAAGTGAACGTTGAATTAGATGCAATCAAATTGTTCGGTATATCAAAATAAACTAATTAATTTTGTGAAAAACTTCTTTTTTCTTAGATTTAATCTGAAGAATGAAATTTAGATTTATGATAATACAGACAGTTATAACTCACCCATGGAGATAAGAATCTAGTGATTAGGAACCCCTAGGTAATAATTTCCACATTAAAAGTTCTGTATATAAAATACAGTTGAGCCTAAAGACTGAAAAAGATTCTTATCTGGAAAATCAGAAAAATAAGTCTGGAGAACTGGAGCATGGTGTCTATTTCCTTAGAACATAATATCACTTTTAAAGACAATTACCAACATGTGCCTCATACATGATCGAAGTAGGAAGGAACAACGCCTAGAGACTCTTCCATGGTTTTTGACTATTGCCTAAAAAAAATCCGTCAACACAGCTGAAAAGAACGCCTTAAAATCAGTATAGTTGCCAAGTTTGAAAGTGATTTGGTGAAAACTAACCAAGATATGGCTCCGCAAAGCCGGACGTTGGTATGGTGGGGTGTGGGCCAAGTTAGTGCCCCCACCATTCAAACGTCCATAAAATTTCGCGTACTTGTGGAGCGGTACCTTTGCTCGCTTTTAACGTACGACCTATAAACTTGGTAAGTTTCTTAATTTTAAGGCGCTCTTTCCAGCAGTGTCAATGGATATTCGCTTACAGTGGTGTCTACTTAAAAGTAGACATCACTTACAAAAGAACCTTTTCAGGCCAACCTGGACAAAATATAAGTTATTTCGGTGGGTTTTGCTGTAATTAGTTTTATGTCTGTCCTTACAATAAGAACTTGTGTTAGAATTTTATACCACCATCCTACCCTTACTTCCAAAAGTAAGCTTTCTCAGGGTAGATAGAGGGATTTTCGTATGACCTTGAAAAATGGTTTCGGTAAGTGTTCGTCATTTTGTTTTATCAGCCAATGGATGAAAACCTCAAAACATGGACTCTTCGTTTTTCCGCCAAAGAAAACCCTAATATGTTGAAGGCATTGTTCGATTGGCCTATCGTGTTGCAGTATGACGTCAATGTAAAGTATCGAGTTCTCTGGTATGGAGTTTTTTCACCCGTGCGTTCGCTTAACCAACCAAAAGCCACGCGCGTTTGTATCCGTTCAATAAACCAATCAAATCGCTCATTTCCGTGCCTTTGTTGTTTCTGTTTCGTTCTCGCGTTTACATTTCAAGGTCATACGAGGTCGAGGACGGCTGCGAGGAGAATATTTACTTTATTTTTATTGAAGGAGGTTAAGTTCTTTCCCGATCGAAAAATGATAAAACTTCTAACATTTGATAACTTTAATTCCGTCACTACGACATTCTCGCCTGTAAAGACTCGTAGTGAACCAGTAAATCCATGGGTATGGACCAGTCCATAACTGTTAAATAACGGCCTGTTCACATGGAGGTGGGTGACCCCAGGTAAGTGAGGTAACCCGTTTAGGTGGGATACCCCTCCTGTCCATATAATCTCTAATGTGGTCACCCCACCTATCATGTAAACGTGATCAAATTAATATGAGAGATTGTATAGACAGGTGGGTACCCTACCTAAGCGGGTTACCTCACCTACCTGGGGTCCCCCACCTCCATGTAAACAGGCCCTTAGTCCTTGTATCTCACACCAAAGCAGCCCACTGGCTTTTGAAGAGAAACATATCCTCTGAATTGATGGTGCCCCTTCTATTTTGATCCGGTTCAACATGTTTTTAAGATACTGGCAATAGTCCGGATTTTCACGGGGTTTAGTCCGAGACTCCATGTGGGAGGTATTCTTCGTACAAATCCTCCGAGACACTGTAAATGTCATCTTCTGACGATGACAGTTGTTTAGTGGAAAAATCTTGAAACAACACCTTACTTATCAGTCCGAAATATGGATTTTCTGGAATATGATCTTTGAATAACCCTCCACAGAACTTAAATGTTACATCGGTTGAGCGGGAAGAGTTTGTGGGTCTTGAGTAGTGGTCGCTTGAAGCTCTTTGCGTTATTCCTGTGGTATTGCTGCATCTAACGTAGTACTTTGTTGAACGACTTGATGCCCCTAACAGTTCAATCGTGTAACAAGTATCTTCGTCCAAAGAAATTGGCCTGTTGAAAAACACTTTGTTTTCACCAAAAAATGACCAGCCAGTGTTCCAGGATCCAGCCTGAGATTTGGCAGTAAGGTGTTTAATCTTAACCCCTTGCCGCCATAAAACAAGACTGAGGTGACCTTCTGTTTCTTTAGAATCTTCAAAAACGAATTGTAACCCGCACAGAAGGACAGGCTTGCTGGCTTTTAGGGTAAGCGTGTGAGATAGCTGCACGCCCGTCTGTAAGTTCAAGGAATCACCGGCAATTCTACAATAGCGGGTGCAGAAACTCGCTGCCCTTGTAATTTCTGAGTAGTCTTGACTGAAACGTACAAACTCTTGGATAACCTCTTCATTTGTTAAGATGTTTTTAGGGACCACCTGATCGGTAAACTGATTTGGTAGCATCAAAGAAAATCGTACGTTTTTCAACACATCCTCTCCCAAAACCGACCTTTTGTTTGGTCCATCACATGCCAAGTTGTTTTCTTTACATCTCTGAACGGCCCAGCGATTTATGGCGTGGAATAACTGTGTTTCCTCGATGTGCAAGGACGATCGTTCGATGAACGAAAGCAAAAACTCCTTTTCGATCCTAAGAAAACATTCATCTTCAGAAATTGTTTCCGCATTGTGATCAATCATTTCCCAGCAAGCCGTTTCCAGAGTTTTCTCGTTGACCTCGCGGGCATGTCGCAAAACATCAATGGACTGAGCTGGATTCATGTTTCCGTCTATAAACATCACACACTCTCTTGCAAGCAAAGGAACGTCATACTTTTCAGCTATATTCCACACTTTCATAGCACAGTCAACGTTTTCGAAATATACTTCATCGGTGTATATAAAGCGCAAAAAATTCAGGAAGAAAGCTGCATCACAGTCGGTGATTTCTATAGTATTCCTGCTTTCAGTTTCATCGCTGTAAAACATCGAAAAAAACACCGAACTACTGATGGCTAGGACGTACTTATGTGCCGGAATGATCGTGTCGTTAGGAAAGACAAACTTGATGTCACTCATCAAAGAATTCTTGAACATAAAACTGTTTCTTTCCAGCACCGTTGATTTCTTTGCTTGCCACCTTTCTTCTTCGTTAACCGCCATGCTTGTCTTTTAACGCGAACCTGCGATAGTGAAAACGGAACTATTAAACACGAACGTCGAATAGTTGTAGCCAGGAAGTTCCAACAGATGACGTGTAGCAAGTCACGTTTAAGTTTAAGACACTTGTTAGCGGGTAAATATACGTCACCAGTTACGCCTTAGATGTCCGATTTTATGGACTGTTTAGAGTATATCAGACAACATGATTTAAATATCCGATAGAGCTTGCAAAGTCAATCTGTAACAAGGGCCTTGTCCTTTGTTTAATTTATCCAAATCATTGCTTATGGGATAGACTTTCTCAAAGTCCTTCGCTTCTCATTTCCGGTTCCGGTAGTTGGCCTAGCGAGCTCTCATCTCAGCCCTGGCCCTCTCGCTCGCTGTTGCCACAGCAAACATAAGAAATCTACCGCTCGCGCTTCGCGCTCGTGAAAAAATTTGAGCTCGACTTGTAGGCAAGTCTACTTATCGTATAGAAGTGGACTAAAAGTTAGTTAGGTAAACAGACTACCACTTCGTGTTTCTTTCAATTCTAGATGTACTTGAGATTGTGCTAGGTCGGCATACGGTATTTATTTATCCTTGCAAATTTCGTAAACTTGACTTTTGTGCTGACTATCACGAAAATCTCGAAAATGAAAATGAAAGTGGATGAGAATTAAGTTGAGACAACCTTCGTCGTTAAAGTAAAATATTGAGACTACTACCCAGCCGAGATTCAGTAGATAATATGCTTTGCTCAGTTCAGTTGTTGAATGTAAACAGGGGATTTATTTTCATCCCTTTTATCTGCTATAAAGACCTATTAGGGGAATTCAACTCTTCCTAGACCCTTTTAGTTGTAAAGCCAGAACAGTAAAAGCTCTAGTTGCCTTGAGGAATCGACCTAAATAAAAAACGTTGTCGGAAAAGCGGAACTTCTTCGGTCAAAATACCGCACGTTCAAACTGAGAAAAAAACCATCGGGACAGCTTACCTATTGCCTTAAATGGGTTAGCGAACATAGCTCTCGCAAAGTTTGTAAATGTAAATCAATTCAACCGGCACAAGAACAATAAACGTGGCGTAATCCAGAGTTCTAGGTTGCTGTCAAAAGCCTTGGATAGTTCCCAGTATCAGTAGTTTAAATGTACTGTAACTTCAAATGGAACACCTTTTCTGTTTTCTCGAATGCTGCGTTCATGGTTTGGTCAGTTTATACTGAACTTTAATGGACCGGATCAAAGCACCTATAAAAAAAGTCCAAAAAATTCGCCTGTACTGCCGACAGTTAATTTTTTATATATATAGTTTTCTCCGTCATTTATTTGTCAATAACGCTGATCGTTTGGAGGATATTACGAGAAATGTTGTTTTGCATGTGGAACGCTTTCTTCTCTGTTGCATTAAGAGGTTCTGTTCTTCTGTTCGTGTTTTCATTTCTAATACTTCTCGTGACCTCTTGATCTGCTGAAACATAGTTTTACACAAAAGACAGGGAAACGTGGAAATATTTCTGAGATTGTTTATTTAACGAATCAACGAAAAGTTCGTTGTCCGTAGGAGTATAAACCTTAGAAGATTGTTGCAATGTTGATGTGTCTTTCGGGCATATTGCTGGTTTTCAGTGTCACACCTTTCAAAATAGATCAAATTAAAATTCAAAACCGTTCAACAGATTAAGTCCAGAATCTGAGAAATGAAAGAGGTGGCAAAAAAATGCAAAGACCGGCGCAAAGATTCAGGTCAGAGGAATATTTCGTATACGAGATATTCGAAGAAACGTTTTACCCAAATTTATAGAGATTTGCACGGAGACGCCATGCTGGTGCCGCTTCGCACGCAAAAGCAAGCGTCACAAAACCAAGAACCCTTTTGAAGCGCAAATCTGTATGAAAATTAGTTTTCAGGTGCTCTAATACATCATGAAAGTAAAATCTCAGGAGTAGGATCGACAGTTTTAGTGACGTCATTTGAAAACTAACGATAGAAATTACAATGACAGTTTTAACAGTCCATTTCCGGTGAAGTTTCTTGGAAAATCGCACCACGAGATAGAGAAAGCTATTTGATCGAAAAATCATTTCTTCCAGTCTTTGATTATTAAAAACTCCTAAATTTAAAAATTAATTAGGCTAGTTTTAATCACCAATGTCTATAAAAAAAATATTCAAGCATTTTGATCTTGGTTTACCTTTGCAAGGTTTGTTTGAGGGACATTGTTATACTGGCCAAGGTAGAATTTCTGCCGCCACGAACTCGCGCGGGAACGCTTGCTACCCAGGCTATAGCCTGCGTAGCAAGCGTTTCCAATCGAGTTATTGCGCGAAAGTTAGACCGGAAGCAAAAAAAAAGGTTGAAGGGGGAGGGGAGGGGAGAAGAGGAAGAAGGAGGTTCCTTCATTTCCCTCCCCCTCCGCCGTCATTCATTTTTTTTTTTTGCTCTTGTCCCAGTTTTCTAGATGAACCTCGCGAGGAAACGCTCCCTACACAGGCTACCTAGGCTATTTTTACTCTACTCAAGAGAACAATCTTTTTCAGTAAATAGCACCCTTTCTATATGTCCAAAATATGGACGATTTAAGGAAATTTCGTCAACACGTAATCCTTCACAAAATTTAAGAGTTACATCATAGTTTTCATCTGTTGTTATATCTTTCTGATCTGGGTAGGTATCAAACCCTGAGGAATCGTTTGTCACATAATAACTTGGTGAATGGCTCGATGCCCCAAGCAGTTCAATGGTGTAGCAAGTCTTAGCTTTCACGGTAAATGGCCTGTTTAAAAACACCTTGTTTTGTCCATGAGAAGAGTCGGTGTTCCATGTGTCAGGACGAGATTTGGCAATAAGTTGTTTCATCTTTACGCCCTGCCGCCACATTGTTACGCTGACACACCCGGATGTAGCCGTGGGGTTGAAAAGGAACTGGAAACCACATAAAAGTATGGGCCTACTGACTTCGAAGGACAACATTGCTGATTCAAAGACATACTGCCAACTTGTCCTTAACAAAGGATTCAGAGAGAACGTAAAGGACAGCATGGGTGCACTGCTCGTCCTTGGACCGCGAAATTCGAACATGGGAGCAGCAACATCTTCGACATCTACGTAATCACTATAGAAACTTTTAAACACGAAGATAATTTCTTCCTGTGTTAAGATGTTTTTAGGTAAGACCACATCGGAAAATTCCTTGGGTGACATTGAGGAAAATCGAATCTGCTGCACCAAACTGTCTCCTAGCACAGACCTTTTAGTTGGTCCATCGACCTTCATGCCTTCGTCTTCGCATTGCTTTGCGGCCCAGCGATCCACGGCGTTAAACAAATCTACTTCCGTAATAACGAGATGCGATCGCTCGAGAAATGAAACTACAAACTCGTGTTCGATATCAAGAAAAGTCTCGTCGTCGGCTATCACTTCTGCGTTGTATTCAATCACTTCCCAGCATGCCTCTTCTAGACCTTCATACCCGAATGTTCGTGCATAAGGTATAATATCAAAAGCTCTCAGTGGATCCATGTTTCCATCCAAAAAATTTACACACGCTCTTGAAAGCGATGGCACGTCATATTTTTCGGCAAGATACCACACTTTAATAGCAGAAACTACTTCTACGAAATTCGCTTCGTCGCAATAAAGAAATCGCAAAAAATGAAGGAAACTGTCTGGATCAGAATCAGTAATTTCTATGATGTCTCTCACCTCCGCCATGCCACCGTAAAACATAGCATAGAATACTGGGCTTCCAACAGCAAGAACATACTTATGTGCGGGAATGATTTTGTAGGTGCTCGTGTCACCCTTGTTAGGAAAGGCAAACTTAACGTCGCTCATAAGAGATTTGTTCCACATATACTCGTTTCTTTCCATAAAAGTTCTTCGTTTTGTTTGCCATCTTACTTCTGCTTGTGTTGAAGCCATCCTCTTAAGTCTAAAATGACGGATCCTGCGAGTCAAACGATCCAGTTTAAAACAAAGCAGTGCATGACACGGAAGTCATCAGCGCCGGATAGGCATCGGTTAGGAAGCTAAGCCAATTGGTGCTCAGTCACTCATGTTTCTTTTATGGTCGATTGTGTCATACTTAAAATTGAATGACGGATTTCTGGCTTTGATTTAGTGATCTTGTTATGATCACGAGAGTAACGAAATTGGCAAACAAGACGTGCAAATATCCCTTACTTATTTGTCAACTCAAAATGTGAGGTGAATCTGCCACTATGATGGAATTCAAAGCTGAAGTTAAGAGGCCAGTCTTTCTGTGAGAGCGTACTAATTCTTTCCATAAATATTTTCACCGAACCAGTACTAAAGTTGCTGAAAGGCTCTTAGGAACAATTCATTTTTAATAATTTGATAGCATGAAGCATGCAATACGCACTACAAACGTTTTACTTAGGTAAAGTCGACTTTTTAAGTGTGACCGATGTTTCCCCAGGTATGACTTGAATCGAAACTAGGAAACTAGAAAATTGCAGAAGGATTGACAAAAGGAAGCAAGAACGTGACTCAACGATGTGACAAAAGGATAGCACGAAACGACGAGTCAAGCATTTTATTAACTTCATGAAACTGTTCGTGTAGCTGTTATACCAGATTATCCTATTCTGTGAAAATCGTACAGTTTGTTGGCAGGGCAAGAAATAAGTGAATTATAATTGAACACCATTGGAGGAATTACCGTAGTGTAATGGTGTAAAAATTAAACGACCCCATTTAATCTCGTACCCAGATCTCTTGTCGACAAGATTCAGTAGAGGCAACTTAGATTGGAATTGGGAGAAGACAGAGAGAGATTGCCGGTTTATGTTTCTTGAGCTGATTTGGCCTCGTAAAAAAACATCACGCAGCAATCCTCCCTAAAGAAAGGAAGATTCCTTTACGAGACGTCCGCGTGGAAGAGCTTATGGATTTTTGATTCTTCAGTCGGTAGCTATTTGTTTATTTCACGCTCGGCGATATGGGCATCCCAGCGTTTTGGGCATCCTCATTCCCAAAATCGTAGCGATATGGGCATCCCCTGTAACTCTAACCCTAACCCAAATCGCTAAGGCAATATGAGAAGGGGATGCCCATATCATTAGGGTTTTGGGAATGGGGCCATATCACTGTAACGTCGGTGTCACAGCGTTTTGGGCATCCCCGCGTTTTGGGCATCCCCATTCCCATATCCCTAGCGTTTTGGGCATCCCCGGTGGGGGATGCCCAAAACGCTGATCACTTCGACTTTGCCTAAATTATTTCAGACTGGGGAAAAGTCGGGATTGTTAATCACGAATTTACGGCTAAATAGTGTAGATGCATGTTAGAATTATATCGTCCGACTCTTTTTGCCGGGTTAATTGCGCAGAAAAAAACCCATAGGCAGTAAACGTTGGCTCAAAACATGACGAAACTGAAATTTACAACCGCATAACATCGCTTCGATGCACAACACTTCATTGTTTGCAAAGCTTTCAATTTTATTTAATAGAACTGTTCACAAGCGAGCAATGCCGCAATCGCCGGCAGCTGCGATCGTCTAATTCCAAACAGCCAAAAACAAGAATACTAAACAAAGGAATCAAAAGGCAAACATGAATAAAACTGCGTTTTGCGGTGTTGCACTCATAGTATTCATGACATTTGAGGCCTGTACAACTTAACCCCGCAGCGCTACTTGATACAGGAAAGGCTGTCACACAATTACTGAGGCCTCAAATCATCAGTGGCACTCTTCGAAGACCCTCGCTTTATCTTCCTCGGCGATAACAAGACGTCGAAGCGCTGTGCCATCCTTCTCCTTGGCCACGTAGAACAAGGACTCTAATTTTGAGTCATACTCAAACTTTTTGGCGAATTTTCTAAGAATTGTTTTGTCCTGTTTTTTAAAGCCTTCCGGATAAACCTTATTTTTAAGATACCGGAACAGATTTGTATATTTAGCGAAATCCATCTCTAAAAGGTTTTCGATTTTTCCGCGAAATCCCAAATTGTTTTGGAGGGGATGCCCAAAACGCTAGGGATTTGGGCATCCCGGGAGGGTACCGGGGGATGCCCAAAACGCTGCAGTAATATGAGAAGGGGATACCCAAAACGCTAGGGATATGGGAATGGGGATGCCCAAAACGCGGGGATGCCCAAAACGCTGTGACATCGGTTCCCCCAAACGTGAGGGCCCTGGGAACGATATTACTCAGGTTACTCTTGACGATCCATTCGCTGGCTTATTAGATAACGAGCTTTCACTGTCGCTTGGCCCAGCAAAGCTTTCACATCCAGAAAATGGCTTCACCTAAATCACAGGACAGGTGGCAAACAAAAACAGCTTCGGTCTTGGAAAGTAAACACATGTTCAAAAATCCTCTTCTTAGTGACATCAAATTTGCCTTCTCGAGCGTCAATAGCGAAGCAACGATTTCAACGATTCCTGCTCATAAGTATGTGCTCGCCGTTAGCAGCCCAGTCTTTTTTACAATGTTTTACGGCGATCTGGCTGAAAGCGGCGATAGTGTAAACATCACTGACTGTGATCCAGACGTTTTTCTTCGCTTCCTGCGTTTCATCTATTGCGATGAAGCAAGTTTCGAAGACATCGACTGCGCCATTAAAGTATGGCGTCTTGCTGATATGTACGACGTTCCCTCGCTTGCAAGAGAGTGCGTCAAGTATTTAGACGGAAACATGGAGCCACTGGACGCCTTTGATGTGCTAACTTATGCTCGCCAATTCAACGATGAAGAAATAGAAAAGGCTTGCTGGGAGGTCATCGATTATAACGCGGAAGTGATCGTTGCTGATGAGTCGTTTCTGGATGTCAAACAGGAGCTCTTACTCTCGTTTGTCGAACGATCATCTGCACGTATCCAGGAGACAACTTTATTTCAGGCCTTGGATGGCTGGAAACGGAGCTTCATGGGTGAAGATCTCTTACAGCAATTTCGATTTTCTTTGATGTCGCCAAGTGAGTTTTCATATGTGGTTATGCCCACAGAAATTTTGCTTTTAACTGAAGTTGTTGATGTTTTTAAACAGTTTACGTCTGTTGTCATCCCTGGAGGATTCAAGTTCTCGTTGTCTCCAAGGAGAACAGCGGACGAACCTCTTTCTTCCTTTAACACAGGCGAAGTTCAGGTTCCTGATCAGGAGGCCAGTGTGTCAATGTCTGATGTGTCTGATAAGACAGGACTGTTCACATTTGCAGTAAATAGGGACATAACCTTGAGAGGTGTAGTGATTGTTACTGGTAAAGATCAAGAATCATGTCAAGTCTGTCTATCAATCACTGAAAGGGGCAAAAAGATAAAGCAAATTAAAAGTAAGACTTTTATGCAAAAAGAGACCCTCGACTCAGACAGCCATGGAGAAGTTAATGTCGTCTTCAACAGGCCTGTGAATTTGTTGAAAAATACTTGTTACACTATTGAAACTGAAACAGAAACCACAAACAATCGTTATTGTGGCTTTGTACGGTCGGCAAAGACAACAACAGCATCAAGGGCAGCAACAGCCCCATCGAGGGGGTTTTCGTTCGGGGCCCCTGCCATCAGCAGATTCTACTTAATGCAAAATGTATCCCTTCAGCCCAAGAATTCCTCCTCATCGCAGAAAATTGATCAAGAAAATGTAGTATCTTGCTATTCTTTCGGAAAATGCCACCAAAAATGCCCAGACCATTCTGAGTACAGCGGAGAGATAATGCAACTGTTGTTTAAAGGATAGAGGAGCCAGTATAAAGTAATATTAGAATTGCTATAAAGTCAAAAAATGATCGCTTATTTGAAAAATACTCTTAACCTGAACTCAAATTCCAAAAATGAGGCATTTTCGTTAAATAGAAACCGAGAAAATGATAGCCAAATTTGGTTTGTAAGGTCGCTATTTTGGAAATATTAATACTTACAGGGCTGAAATTCGACGCAAAACTGTCGGTTGAGGACAAAACATGGACCCGGGGTCCACGGACGACCCCCATTTTGGACCGGGTCTATGGACCACTTATCTGGGCCAGGTCCATCGACCCCCTGTAATGGACCTGGTCCATGGACATTGAAAGTAGAAATGATCAATAAACGTTATGACCTGCTTCAACCCACAAAAATAGCGCAAAAATAAGGTTTGGAGGTACTGATAATCGATGGTTGTTTACCATTTACATCTGGATGGGCAAACCGGTCGGTCCACGGTTTAGGCAAATGGTACGTAAAACTCAAGACTGGTAAAATTCGCCCCGGAATCGCTTTTACCGTTTGTACGAATTGCATGAACCAGTTCCATTTACCGGAAAACGACTGCGGAGGCCTGAAACTGGCGTCCAAGATGGCTTTGAAGTAATGGAACACGAATTTCTGTTTGGAATATTCCGTTCTCAAAAACAGGACTAACTTTTCAGATGTTCCGTTGCTCCCGGAAATTTTCCGCTGGAACGACCAAATGAGTCATGCTCCATTTACTTTCCAACCGGATTTTGCGGATCTTTTGTTTTGTAAATGGTAAACAACGGATAATTACGCCTGCTTACATGATGTACGAAATGCCAATGACGTATGCTAACAGTGTAAAATAAAACAAACTGAATACAAGGCTGGCACTACGGCAAAGAGATGATTTATTATAGGCCAATATTTCGGCTAACAAAATTAGCCTTCCTCAGGGCCAAGGATATACCGAGAGAAGATATCCCAAAATTAGAATTTAAAATTTACATAAGTGGTTAATAATAAACTACAATTATAAATACTAGATAGAATAATGTACAGGTTAATGATTATACAATAAAAATAGAAATAGAAACAGTTCAGTGTTTCATTCCCTGGGTTCAGACCATCTGGTGACAGGATTTTCCTCTATTTATGAGGTACGCTTCTCTTGCCATACGGCGTGACATGCTGAGGGTGGGTTGTAATTCCAGCGGAATAAGTTCCATTTCTGCGATCGAGTGGCAGGTTGATTTAAGTGGGAAGGGACTGCTGCTGTGGCGTTTGCGTGGAGTGGATTGTTTGTTGCCTGACTATGTTCTTTAAAGCGTTCACGAAGTGTGCGTTTAGTTTCACCTATATATTGTCACAAGTAATGTGATGTTTAATTTGTCTTGTTTCTCCTGCGTTGGTGAAAGTGTCCGATGTTTTCCCATGGCTCTTGCCCATGGTTAATTTAGGGGCAGGTGAGGCATCCATTGTCTGGTGTTGCAACGGAATGTGTCGGCAGGGGGCTTGGGTGTCTTGTCGTTGTTTGCGAGTTTAAAGCTAAATCAACAATTTAAGTATAAGTCAGTTCCAATTTTATTTTTATTCATCATTTTCACATAGACTATAATACATCTTGCTTACCCCCAAAACTTTGCATAACCATTACCCAGGAGAAATATGCAAAATTCCGGGGGCGGGGAAGGGGGGTTTAACATAGTGCATTATGGTCTATGTGAAAGTAGTGAATTCCTAGTTATCGAGGGAAAGCCAGAAATATGCAATTCTTGATTTTTTGAGCTTGTTATATAAATCGAAAGTCACACCTTAGGTGTGATTTGACACCTCGGATATCAGTTTTCTGAAAGCTCATCTCTCGCTCGATAGACCTGTGTAATTTTTATTTTGAAAAATTCTTTATTACTTGAGAAATAAATTTTTCAAATGGAATGGCTACTGCTTAAGTCAAGAAATACGTTATGGTTGTTCATTACAGTCGATAGGATATAATAATAGACTTCTTGTTTGTCTGACGATGTAATCACTTGAAGCAGATGACAATATTTTGACTGCTCGCGTCTAGCTTCGGACGATGAACAACTGTTCAATTTTCCCACCGCCAGGAAATTGGGTGAGGCCGTACCACTCCCTATAGCCTGCGTGGCAGCCGCAAAAAGGGGAGGGGGAGGGGGAGGGAGCAAAGCTACCCCTTTCGACGCCTGCTACGCAGGCTACACTCCCTAAGGAAGGGGATCATAAAATAGCATCAAACAACCGTCCTTTGTCACTCCTCCCGGTTCTCTGGAAGATATAAGATGAAGCAGTCCTAGCTCAGTTTATCTCTTACCCGTAGAGGCATGCACAAGCTATTATCCAGCCACCAGAGCGGAAATCGCAAATATTACTCCACAGAAACAATCAACATTGCCGTTACCGACGCCCTCTTCGAAGCCATGGACGCTGAAGATATATTCTATCCTTATCCTACTTGATCTTTCAAAAGCTTTTGCTAGCATGGACCACTATATTCTCCTGCGCAAGATCTCACACCTGGGTGCTTCTCCACTGGTACATATTGTATATAGCTGGTTCGTAAAAGTACATGTACCGTCTATAAACCGAATATGGAATACCCCATCGCTCCACTTTGTCACCTCTTTTGTTTACAATTTACACCAAATACATACATACATACTTTTACATAATACATACTTTTTTACAGTATTTCTAACAACAAAATCTTTATCCCAAAATATCTCGATAACGCTCTTACAGATTTCGCTTAAACTTCACGAACATCGAGGCTGTTATTGGAGGAAAAAGCTCCCGTAAATGATTTTCGAAGAACAGTTCCCAGTGCCGAGATATACTGCTGCAAGAAAAATAGGCAATAGCGTCATTTCGTTGCTATGACAACTCCGATGCCGTTGCAACACAGATCATAACAAATTTTCATCTTTATCTAATACAACTGTGGTGGCAATTTTTCCAAAACTTTGTTTTTGGCGACGTAGTTTATGCTCAAACTTGAGAGGTATTGACCCTGAAAAACTGTATCGAGCCACCTTAAGGTGTATCTGTTGTTACCCATTGTTTATTGACGACTTTTGAAGTTTCCCTTGTATTTGACTATCAGCTACTGACCTTCGCTTTTGGCCTGGCTAAATTTATGGTTTATATATTTAACAACAAAATTTTGGGTTCATAGCAGATTTTTTTGTACGCACTTTTTCACTTCCTAGGAAAAAAGAAATCATGTAATGTAATCTTTCCTGTGAGCATGCCACCATGTTAGGTCGATCACAAACAATGCATGTTAGTACCGACTTCCTTTTAGAGACTTCTCATATATGATACTTTTGTAACAGCATGAGGCGTTTGACAATGCATACCAGTTTGGGAGGGGGGTGCGACGGGTGCGCTCGCACCCCCCCCCCCCTCCACCACAGGCCCAGAGATCCACTTTTTTGTTGATCAACGATTTAAAGCCAATTGAGTTAATAGTATTTTTCATTTGTAATTCACTGATTGTGTACTAAAACTGAAAATACTGTAAAGAGTTGACCTAGCTGTGACTCACGCGTTCTACAAAACGTGTTTGGCCTTCGTGTAAAAGTATGAAAAAGGAGATCCGGTATGCCTACAAGGCATCTACCTCTGGCTGGTTTGTCGCTTACTGTTTCATTTTGTCGGGTAAGGTCTCGATTCGTAGTACGGATTGAGCAAATGCTTTCTTGCCGCTTTTCTTTCTCTGGTAGGTTATGTGGTCTTTTACTGTGCAGTTGCAGCTGCTTGTGGTTTCTTATTTTTGCTGTATCAGAAATTGGCCTCTGATCGCCAGCTGAAGATGTTAGTGTTTTCCTTTCTTATTTTCAAAAGTGGCTTTCAAAAGTAGTCTCTTCAAAAAAAATCCCTTTTGAAGTTTAAAAAGTTTGAGTTATACCAATGTTTTTTAAAACGCTCGTAATGCAGTCTCCGACGTAACACTTCGCATGTAAACGAGTTTTCTGAAGATTAAAGAACAATGTACATTGCTGCTTTTAACTAGGATTCTCGTGGATTGTGCACTTTTCCATAAAAAAAAACTGGAGACAGGCTGCCTTAAATTGACCTCGATTTTCCTGTTGTCATAAGCTTCAAATGCACCAGATTGCATCTCTGGGCCCCTATTTTAAAAGACTTTTTTTCAGGGGAGCATACCTCCGAACCTCCCTAGGGGCTCGCGCCCTATAGGTGCTCGGTGTCAGGCGCTGGTTAATTTGGATTGGTACTTAAAGCGAACGTTCTTTAGGGAAGACTGCCTACGTGACGAGCCAAATAAAAAAACATCTTCTGCATCGGAAGCTAATTATAAGTCAAAATTTACGCCAGCTTGCAGAATTAACGCTCAAAATTTTTATTCAAATGATTTGTCCTAACATTTCTTCCAACGGTTCATTCAAAAATGAGAGGGCCCTGGGATCGATGTTGTGTCTGTCACGCTTTCACGCTTTATAGGTACTTGGGGGCCGCTCCATTCGAGTTTCGTTTTCACTTCCGCCTCAATCTGTTCACGTATCTTTCATACCCAGACGTTCCCAGACGATGGCTTCCCTTAACCTAGAGGAAAGGTGGCAAACAAAAACCAGCTCTGTCTTGGAAAGAAGCAAACTCATGTTCAACAATACTCTTTTAAGTGACATCAAGTTTGCTTTTCCTAAAGCTGATAGCAACTCAATGATTCCAGCTCACAAGTATGTTCTCGCCACTAGCAGTCCAGTATTTTTCACTATGTTTTACGGCGATCTGGCTGAAACCAGCGACACTATAAACATTACTGACTGTGATTCAGACGTCTTTCTTCGCTTCCTACGTTTCATTTATTGCGAGGAAGCGAATTTTGAAGACACCATGTGCGCCATTGACGTATGGCATCTTGCCGACAAATATGACGTCCCTTCGCTTGCAAAAGAGTGCTTGGAGTATTTAGACGGAAACATGGATCCAGTGGACGCCTTTGATGTATTAACGTATGCTAGCCAGTTAAATAACGAGTTTCTGGGGCAAAGTTGTTGGGAGGTGATAGATTACAATGCGGAAGCAATCGTTGCTGATGAATCATTTGTAGATGTTCAACACGCGTTTTTACTCTCCTTTGTTAAACGATCTTCTGCACGAATCAAGGAACTATCCTTATTTCAAGCTTTAGATCGTTGGGCTACAAAGAAATGTGAAGAAGCAAGTACGACAGTAGATGGAGAACAGAAAAGGCGGTTCCTAGGAGAGGAAATGATCAGGCACTTTCGATTTTCCTTGATGTCGCCTAAAGAGTTTTCAGATGAGGTTGAGCCATCAGGCGTTTTGCAGGCAAATGAAATACTTGATGTTTTTAAACAGTTCTCTTCTGTTTCTATCCCTGGTAGATTCAAGTTCTCAACGAGTCCCAGAAAATCATCTTACGAAGTCATGACTCTGTCCTGTGATCTCGGCAATATCAAAAATGGCAGCTTTATGACTCCTGTATCCAGAAAGACAGGAGTACTGACATTTGCGGTGACAAAGGACGTCTTACTTAGTGGTGTAAAAATTGTGACTGATAAAGGTCGGGAATATTGTCGCGTTAGTCTAGCTATCGCAAATGGAGATAAACAGGTGAGACGAATCAAGGATCACAATTTTATTTGTAATTATTATAACTCTCTTAGCAGCGACAGCTACGGGGAAATTGATGTCGTCTTCAACAGGCCTTTCGCTTTGGCAAAGAATACTTGTTACACAATCAAAACTAATACAGATACGACAAATAATCTGGATTCCGGCTTCGTGTACCAGACGAGTGGGTTCTCTAATTCGGGATTCTCGATATCCTCGTCAATTATCGGCCCTACACTTTTCGGTTCAACACCTTCACTAGACACAAACAAGTCAAACAATGTAAACCCCATAATTTCTTTTTCACATTTTGGGAATTGTGACAAAAATTGTCCAGAACATTCGGCGGTTGGAGGAGAGATAACGAAACTAGTTTTTGTGAATGACAATGAGCCCACTGATCTTCCCCGCTGGCTTTAGTTCCTGAGCATTGTTGCGCACCTCCATTACACTATTACAGTTAGAGGGTCTGGAGGTGATCTTGTCCGCTTCTTTTTTGGAAATTATGTGGGAAACAGATGGGTTAACATATAAGACCAACTGTATTTTCATAAGAGGACAGAGAGGGCTGTACCAAAACTAGGTCAACTTTATTCATGTGCCTAATTCCCTGCAACGGCTTTTCACACTGGATACTTTATGATCTTGCTATTCTATTTCCTTTACCCCAAAATTTAATTCGGCTATTGCATACATTTTAGACTTAAATTTTAGTCTTTTTATTAGCTTGATTTATTTGTAAAGATTACCCTAATTAGCTGTAATTAAACCAGTTCTCAAGCATGTTTTAAAAGGCATGACCCAAAGCCTAATTTGCATAAAAGCTGATGAATCTTGGCAATAACCTAAAACTTGACATACTTAAGTTAGTGTTCTCTTTAGAAGGGGAATTTTTGCGTCACTTGACCTGTTATAGCAGTTTCCTTACACGAAAAGAAAAGTGAAAATGGGCCGAGATGACATGTAACAGGAGCTCATCATCCTGCATTGGCCCATTTCATTTTCCTCTTTTTCTTTAATCATAACGTCATCAAACACGTAACCGCAGTTTAAAAAACCCTGGTAAGGATGTTGAATTATTTAATTTCTGCTTCCTAAGTCAAATTGTCGTAGGAGCTTAAATAACGCTACTTCTATTAAGGAAGCTAATTGCTTCAGGGGAGGGGGGAGGGGGGGCTTTAAGATTAGCGAAAGGGCCACGCCTTTTATATGCTTGAGTTCGGTCCACACTTTGAACCATTTATATATTTCGTAACAAAAATGACTATAAAACATAAAAGCTTTTAATTTAGGGTTTTTTATGTTAAATTTGTTAAGCTCTGTAAAACATAGCCTGGGAAAAAAGTGTGGCTCTCTAGTGCCACTCATTAAAGGTCACTTAAGCGGACGATTCTGAATGGATCTCTCAGCGACTATTTGCGCCTTTGCAGCTGGCACAGGAAATTATCATTCTTCGTAGCCGAGTTGTGATATATTTCTCATACAACGTCTTATAATTTTCTTGCTGTGTGAATAATTAATTAGCCTAGACGGTTAGTGTCTTACTTGGCATCCTATAAGAGGCCTGAAACGTAGTCAGCACACAAATAAACATAATAAAATACTACATGCAAGCTTAAAAGGAAAAATTGAAAGCACGTTTCGCTCAATTATGGAGAAATATGATAATTCTCAGACAACGTCTTATAATTGTTGCCGTATGAATAATTAATTAGCTAATGGATAATGTTCTTAGGGCTCTCATAGTGAGCTTGGGCTACCTGTGGACAGATCAGATTAAAAACTAAAGATTATACATTCAAGAAAGTCACGATTTCGTGTAGTGCGTGAGCGAGCCATTGTACTGTGAGGTTTGGAGCTGTGAAATAAACCTTGTTTTTGCTTAAAACTGTGATATCGTGAAGAACGGCCGTACGGCATTCACGACACTAGGACACATTGGTTTTTCTTGCTGAGAATTAATTTTCAAAAACTACCCAGTAGCCAGCATTGATAATATTTTTTTCGTTCTTGTTAAGTACATGCAATCAGGGTGTAATAGAAATACACATTTTCAAACAGTTCTACGGTGTGCGTACATTGTATACCGTTTTGTTTCTGAATTGAAGAGGCGAGTTGTAATTGAACAGACACGATTTCTTAGTGCTGTATTTTTGTGTAGTGAATTTTAGTCAGAGTATATTTAATACTCTAGAGTAAATTTTTGCGGGAAAAGTGTTTTCGTTAATTTGGGGGGGCGGGGGGGATTATTTTTGCGAATCGCTGGAAAAATCGCAAAAATCGTAAAAATTAGAACCTGCAAAAATTTCGTGTCACACCGTATCTCTAGTTTATGTGAACTTTTTTTGTTTTGTTGACAGCTTGTCTCTATATTTGAGGAACACAATAAAAAAAATCGTCTAGTTGGTTGGAGAAAAGCCTCAGCGCATCTGAGATTTTCTTTAATCGCGTGCAATACCATTGAGCTGTAGTTAGAGCGGCGCACAGAGTTAAATTGTCTAAACTAAATCAAACTGGTTCGACATGGACAGAGTTTTTAAGCAAAGAAAACGTTTCTTTTCAGTTTGTTATCAGTAGTATCTTTATACACTGCGAACCAACAGGATGAAAATGAGCTCATTAAATTTTTTGAACAATCATAGAAGGAAGTCTGTACACAGGCGTGTGCATAAGATAAAAGTGTTCATTCTGGAGGTCATATATGGCGCCAGGAATGGGCTCTTGGTGGCGCTTTTTATCCCGGGGGGTACTCCACATAATGGCCTATATGGGCAGGCTCCGTGCGAAAGGGGTACCCTTTTTAGGCTTCAGGTATACACAAGAGTAGAGATTTCACTAGCTGAGGTATATGAAACGGTAGGAAAATGCGTCATTTCGGTCAGTAAAAAGGCCCAAAAGGACAAGGCTCACGATCACGTTGTTCATCTTTCCTAGCAAGAAAACATACTTTGCATAGCAAGATCTTATATCTTCTTTCACCTTTATTGTTACCTCGGAATCGTTGTAAACATTTCCGGTCAATTGATTTGTTTTATACTTATTGAAATAACAACAGCCTTTGTATAAACATCTACATACGGCATTACAAGATTGATCACTAAATACGCGATTGCAGTAATTGCATAAGTGATGATAAAAACAAAGAAATCAATGAAATCAATACAAAAATTAAATGTAAAAGCAAGGATATTGTTACCTAAAAGCTGGCTTTTGAAGTACTGACTTCTTCCATAAGGCCGTTGTGTTGAACAAAAACACTGTTGAATTTCACTGATCCAGTTGCTCGTAATGTTTACTAAGGAACAGTTTGAGTTAAATAGTTAACTCGGGTGATTCTTTTAGCGCTTCTAACTCAGTAGGTAGCTCACTTACTGTACAAGGTTTCCTGATGAAGACTCACTCGGAAGAGTTCGCTTTTAAATGGGTCTCTCGCACAGTATAGTTCATGAATACCACTTCCAAAATGTACTCTTGCCAACAATCAACAGCGTTTACATTCGTATGTTTGTATTCGTATGCTTCCACCGAAGATAGATTGCTAACAGCTTTGAGGCGCTTCGCGGCTCCTCGGAATGTACTCTGTTGAAGTCCGCTGATCGATTCTACGCATTCTACGCAACATTTATATCTTGCGCACGCGCTGAACACGCCAGAGTGCAATTTGTGCCAGAAGGAAAAACCGAGCCCAATTTATAACTGGGCTGTGCCACAGGCAGCCCAGTAATTGTTGTATTGCATTGTATTTATAGATAGCCTTTATTTTATTTTATTTTATCGTCTCGCGTTTCATTTTTGGTTATAAAATTTATTTTAATTTAATTAATTCATCAGTTAATGAATAGTGTCTCTTTTCTCTCTATCTCTCTCGAATTGTTAATTAATTAATAACCAACAATGAAACACGAGAAGATATATAATAACAACCTCGTGACAACAACAGAAAAATGTGAGACAAACCGCATAAAGCATTGTGAAATCAACAAAAGTCAAAGCGTCGACTTGAACATCGTTTTCGCATCGTAAAACGATTTCCATTTCACTTCGCACCGAAGCCGATTTAAGAATACAATAAAACAGGTAAGATTTTGTCTCTAATTTCCACTTGCAGTTTACAAATAAGAGTGTGGATTCCCTATGGTTTATCGAAACAAATGATAACAAGATCATGCGCAAATTTAATGATAAAGCTTAGTAATGTCGTGTTTACATTTGAGCTTTTACCAAGGTAAAAATTTACTAAGGTCAAGTTACTTAACCTTCGTACATTCGTCCCACGTTTACACTAGCTCAAATAACTCCAGTTGATCTGTCTACACTCCCGCTATCTGCATTAACTACGTCATGAAATCAAACTGGCGGGAAATTCTAAAACCATGCTCGCTTCAAGAAGTAAAGTGGTGGCTTTCGTGGACATTGGTTTTTATTTCTTAATTCAAGAGTCGCAAACAGAAACGTCTCGATTTCGTAAGATGTTGATGTTACAACACCTCAAGAGGTCGAGGCGAAAACGGATGGTTTTACTCCAAATTGCTTTAAAAAATACCAGACGAGCTAGACGGGCGTGGGCATGGCCGCGAAATCAGTTCTGGTTTGAGAGCCTTTTGCAAGGAGATTTCTTGGAAGATTGGTGGAAAGAAAAAATCAGGATATCAAGGCGTTCCAATCGTTCTCTGACTTCTCTGTTGTCTGCCATGATAGAAATGCTTGGCCGAAAACGTGACAATCGCACGATCTGCTCACCGCTGGATGTGACATGTTACACCACCACAAGCGGATATATCTGTCATCTTGACCTTGGTTACCAACTGTAACCATGCCTGATCACAGGGTAATTACAACTTTTACCTTGGTCAAATTTCTTTTGTCTTTTGCGGCATTTACCAAAGTATCAGTTAGCGTTTACACACGAAAAATGTTTACCTAGGTAAGTAAACTCCCCTACCTCAGTAAACTGTTCAAGTCTACAGATGCAAACAAAAGCAAAACCTCTTAGCCACATTGAAAACAACTGTAAGCTCTACGATGCTACGTGACCAAACCTTGTTCTAGTAAGTAACTTGCCTTAGTACTCTGTTTTGCTTACTGCGCTTTTCACAAACATGCGAACTCTAAAGTTCAAAAGCCGCCTTCACAACTGCGTTTTTCGCTGCCGTCAATCATAATTACGATCACAAGCAACGAACCTTGAAACACAGAAACACACAAAACGGATCGAAATCCACCAATCACAAATAAATCTCAGGAGTAGGATCGATAGTTTTAGTGACGCCATTTGAAAACTAACAATAGAAATTACAATGACATTTTTGACAGTCCATTTCCGGTGAAGTTTCTCGGAAAATCGCACCACGAGATAGAGAAAGCGATTTGATCGAAAAATCATTTCTGCCAGTCTTTGATTATTAAAAACTCCTAAATCTGAAAATTAATTAAGCTAGTTTTAATCAACAATGTCTATAAAAAAAATATTCAAGCATTTTGATCTTGGTTTACATTTGCAAGGTTTGTTTGAGGGACATAGTTATATTAGCCAAGGTAGATTTTCTCCCGCCACGACCTCGCGCGGGAACGCTTGCTACCCAGGCTATTTTTACTCTACTCAAGAGAACAATCTTTTTCAGTAAATAGCATCTTTTCTATATGTCCAAAATATGGACGATTTAAGGAAATTTCGTCAACACGTAATCCTTCACAAAATTTAAGAGTTACATCATAGTTTTCATCTGTTGTTATGTCTTCCTGATCTGGGTAGGTATCAAACCCTGAGGAATCGTTTGTGACATAATAACTTGGTGAATGGCTCGATGCCCCAAGCAGTTCAATGTTGTAGCAAGTCTCAGCGTCCACGGTAAATGGTCTGTTGAAAAACACCTTGTTTTGTCCATGAAAAGAGTCGGTGTTCCGTGTGTCAGGACGAGATTTGGCAATAAGTTGTTTCATCTTTACGCCCCGCCACCACATTGTTACGCTGACACACCCGGATGTAGCCGTGGGGTTGAAAAGGAACTGGAAACCACATAAAAGTATGAGCTTACTGACTTCGAAGGACAACATTGCTGATTCAAAGACAAACTGCCAACTTGTCCTTAACAAAGGATTCAGAGAAAACGTAA